AAATTGTAAATATTTAGACATGCCGAAAATCAAATAGCCAATAATAATTTCTCTTTTGCAATTACATTCACGCCATACGGCAATTGCTGCACATAGCTCAGATTGAAAAGACACGTGTGCGTGTGACATAGAAAACACCTTCGAAAATTTATCCTTCAAGTGTGGGCCGCCAAATTTCTTTCTCCCGCATTTTTTCTGTATATGAAACTTATGGATTGCAATATTTCTCTTAAAGATTAGGTGCGATAACGACGGTGTGAAGGCGACGAGGGCAATTGTGTCTGTTTGTGAGAGAGTGAGAGAGAGAGAGAGAGAGAGAGAGAGAGAGAGAGAGAAATTCATGTGTCAATTTAAATATTTAATTAATTCAGCATATGAATAAATAATTTACCATGGGTAGCTGCAGATTGAAAATTGGCCCATTTCGCTTGACGATGCTCAGTCATAAAACTGATACTCAATGCGAAGCACGCGAAATGTATACATATATATGCACAGTGAGCACTCTCATTTTTCTTCGTTGTTTTTTATTCTTCTTCTTCGTCTTTTTCATATCATATTTGCTGTATGTGCCAACAGCAAACATCAAATTTGATGATGCTGCTGCTGCTGCTGCTGGTAATGCTAGAACTGTTGCTACATACAAATTAGTCGTATCCATTTCGCATGTTTGTTCATTTTCATATGGGAAAATGATCGTTTAAAATTAACATAACTCCAAATAGCAAAACGTCACAAAGAATGGCGATAGAGATGATGAAAGAAAGGAGTGAACATTTTTCCATTTCTCTAGGACACTTTGCGTCGTATGTGGAAGAAATTGAAAGTTGTGCGGCACTGATGATGAAGAACGAACGTACTTTCATATAAAATATATTTCAAGTACACACTCTACGCTCGTTTAACCAAAAATCATTGCAACGCAAAGTTGATGGCGAAAAAAATTATCAACCGGAAATTGGAGTGAGATGTGAATGGCATACATGTGCAAGGTACACATGAGTGTCTGTATGTGTTTGTGTTTATGTATGTGTACGTATCTCGTTGGCAAAAACTGTTCTAGTCTCATCCGTTATCGCAACGACTCTCAAATAAATTGAATTGTTCGAACGAATGAGCTAGAGAGAGAAACAGGAGAAGGAGGTAATAGAGAAAAAGAATAGAGGGAGAGAGAAAAACAAAGTAACTTTGTTTGTTTCGACATATTGGCAAAAGTTGAAGTTCATAAATGTGCTACAAAATTTTCAACCAGGCAATGGACAGAATAAAACAGCCCCTTTCTTACGATCTCACTTTCTGCTTCTATCTTTCCCTCCCCCTCCCTGACTCTCTCTCTCTCTCTCTCTCTCTCTCTCCCGCGTTTTCTATGTCTATCCTTCTCTTGCTCTTGCTCTGTCTCTGCCCGCTCTGTTGTCATTCCAACGATTTCTGTCCTGTTCCATTTCGTTTGGATGGGGATTCAATGCAATTACTCGAGGAATGCCTTCTTTTCCATCTTTTGTGCATTTTCTTTTCCTCCCTTTAAAATGCGCAATTTTTCCAACGAAAAATTTCATCTTTTCTACGACAATCGAGTTATTTTAGTTCGGCAAAGATTCTTCAATAACTTTATGGCTTTTAAGGTTGTTGGCAAATGCATTCGAAAAGAAAAGATTTCAACTCAGCTATGGTGCATGCAGTAAATGCAGTGGATGGTCGAAACAAAATACGGGCGCATCAAGTTGAAACTGAAATAGATGAATAACGAGAGAAAGAGAAAATCGCTTGACCATGCATCAACTCTTCAAGATTCCACCATATGCACACACACACACACATACACACCCATGCACACATGCGAATGTGATCGATGAACTGGTTAATGAACAATCGACAGATAGAGCCGCAAAATTACATAATGCGTATCTATATTCAACGCAGGCATAATAACGATAATGGAGTCTTTAACGTCGATGTCAATTGATTAAATGCGTTGAAATGGCAAAAGGAAAGCGAGAAATAAATTAAATGGAGAAAAACGTTCGTAGTTATTTTCGATTATCGACAATGGTTGAAAGTGTGGCAATAAGGGTGGCAAAGTGTTAAAACGTACACAAATACAATGTGCTCGTGCATTATAATATTGGTGGTGATTGCGATTGAGAACGGCAATAATACACATACTCTCGGCATCATTGAATAGAAAATCTGCCTGCTGTTGAATATGTTATGTGTGTTATTGTCGAGCACATTGTTCGGCTAACATACAGCAAACCATCTTGCACTTTGATATTGTACGGTGTGTGTGTGTGTGTGTCTGTGTTTTTTTGTTGCTTTTGTTTCTTATCAATCTTTGGGCTACAATGCAAAAAGCTTTCACATCATCATAATCCACTGTATAACAACTCAACAAGCAGTCTCTTTCTCTCTCCGCCTCTCCCTCATTATCTCATGTGCTTGTTCATTCTCTCGTTCACTAACTCGTTGGTTTTCGCACATCCGTCTATCAACTCGTTCACATGCACACCGTTCCGTGTGCGTTTATTTTGACACAAAGCTCCGAGCACACGTTCATTTCGCGTCAGAGACGGTGTGTGTGTGTGTGTGTGTGTGTCACATCGTACAGCATGTGCAAATTATTCGGTGGCTTTTGATGAGAATGTGAAGCGTAAACATACCGTGAGTGGCACATACGGTGTGAGTGTTGATGATACCGTCGATTGTTTAACGGTTATGGGACGGTTTTGAATGTGAGAAATGTACAGCGTGGTGCGCGGTGTGCGGTGCTTTTAAGAAAATTGGAAAAATTTTCGCACTTACTCACTTACACTTGGCATTGTGTTTTGGTCGTTTCCGTTGTACCAAGGCGTCGGCAATGGTGGCACGGTGCACAAAAGGGCTATAGCTCAAAATCACACTCGAAGCAAGCTTCAAGCAACCATACGTCGTGCACACAATCTGCGGAATGCAGTAAAAGATATGTTGTGAATGTGGCGCTTATAATGCGACATAAAGTTCAGTAAATGTACGAAAATGGCATTAGCACAGCCATTTGATGTGAACCTCTGGCTCTTTGCTCATTCATTTTCGCTCGGCGACAATTTGTGTGTTGTGTCTGCGTGTGTGCAGCAAATTCTAAAGCAATTCTCTCGCACAACACTTACATTGTAAAAGTGCACCAGCAAAAGAGGCAACCGAGCTGAGAACCATTGTTCGCTCATTTATCTTGGCCTCGAATCGTTGCGTGCAAATGGTACCAATGGATTCTACCGCTTTTTTTTCCACTCACCCTTTTTATCTTCATTCCACACTTCCGCACCGGATGGAAAACTGCACAATAACTATAAAAATGCGAAAAACACACCGAACATCAGCCGAATAAATGAATGGGGTGATTGTTGTCATTTTTGTGCTCGTTTTCCGCTTGTAATGCCTTTATAATGCGTTTTATGCGTACATCTTCTCTCCGTGTCTCGCTTCTCTTTTCCTCTCCCTTTCTCTGGGTCCTTCAGTTTTACTACATGGTAACTCAGTTGAATGAAATTGTACCCGCCGACATTTTTCTATAACACTTATCTTCCACTCAAAAGCCCACAGACACATGATGGTTACATTTTAAGTAATTATAACAATATTTCCTTCTCATTTTAACCGCTTCAATCCTGCTTTATTTCTCTTCAAAACTGCTGCATTTTTATAATACTCACACACCATATTCCATTCGCAATTTCTTTTTGGCCATGTTCAAAATCATACCGATCACTTCATTTCCCATTCATTCAATTTATTTCGAAATTGATTCATACTTCTTTCTTTAATGAATATTTCATCAGTTCTTTGAACATGTTCATGCGATTTAAATTGAATATACGGTTTCGCTCGTTTGAATTGTGTTCATTCATCGATTCACAATCAAAGTGCATGAGGACAATTTTTCCGGTTCTTAAACACTGCGTTAAAAAACATTGGTGAAGTTTTTACTCGGATTTGTTCTCCATTTCTTGTTCTTGCTCCCTATCTCCCTATTCGCCTACCTGAGCTATCACGTTCCGTGCTTCATCTGATGAAATGTAAATAAGTGCAGAGCATGAATTCAATGATAAAATACGAGAAGCCATTTGTCGTACGGTCGAATGCGGCGGTGAACTCGAGCACATGATATTTTAATTGAAGTCATTTCCAATCCATGTACAAAAGAAAACTAAACACACTGTAACTACCTTATTTTTCGCAATGGATTTTATAAAACACATTTTCCTTTAATATTTATTGCACATTTTTATTGGCTTGTCACAAGTTCGACGAGAGGAAAAAAGAAATTGAAAATAATTGACAAATGTCTGCCTGTTGCTGACTTTTATTATTGTTTAATCTAATTTATGGAAGAGAAAAACTGCATCACACACACACAATCGAAAGTCATTAAGCAAAAACATGAGACAATGAGAATGTGCGACACCAGTAATAGCATACAAAAAATCAATAAATTTTTATGGCGGCGAACAATTAATGATATTATTGGCGCTTGTTTCTCTCTCTCTCTCACACACTCACTGTGTAAATATAGTTTTAACAGTTGTTGTAATTTCGAATCGCGTGCGCGAACCAGAATGGTTTCCGTTTTAATTGAAACGCTGACCGGGTAGTGCTGGAATTCACTGCTTGAAAATTTATCGCGATAAGTATAATTAAATGAAGCACAATAAAAACATTGTGCTGTACCATGTAAAAGCTCTTCACAGTAGAAATAGCATGTTTGAGCGGTATTTCATTGTGCATTTGTTTGCTTTCAATTCAGAAATCTTTTGAATCAACGAGCTGTTTTTTTTCGGTTTTCATTACTAAAAAAAATGGAATGAATGAAGATGAAAAAAAAAAATTGGGATGGGGAAAAACATTAATTCAGTTTAATAGAGAGTGATTCAACGGAGTTTGTTGATTTTGATACGATTTCACACATAATAAAAAACCAATTAATTCGACTTTATTGTTCCATGTTGTTTTTCATTCTTCCTTTTTAGTATGAAGTGATATCGGGATTTTGTAGCGCAACAAAGGAATACTGCCCACCTGGACCACGTAAATTTATAAATAACAATCATTTAATTGAACTATGCTCTTGCAATATATTTTAATTTGATTAAAAATTTTCGCACAGCTGGCTCACCTGGGCATCATGGGGCAAAAGGTATGTGTATTTTTTTCGAATGGAAAATGTTCACATTTTAGTATGATCATTTGGAGAACTGGTTGATTCACCGGAATTATTATATGTAGGTTATCGAGGTGATATTGGAATGCCGGGGCCGCCAGGAAGAGAGGGCCCAATTGGACCAAGAGGACCTAAAGGGTAAGTATTCGCTGATATTATTGCCACCGCTCAATTTCATTCATAATTTATCTTTCGCATTTTTAACGACCATATGCCCTGTGGTACACACAGAATGCCAGGATCGCCAGGTAATTGCAACATTTTTCCATTCATTAACATAATAAATGGATTATTATCGAAGAATGCGTTCTTTTTTGAAAATTATTTCAAATATTTCACCATTATTTAAGGTTTGGATGGTCGTGATGGTATTCCAGGCGAGCCTGGCTTAGACGGAGTACCAGGTTTGTATTTTGTTCATATTTTTCCACTTTCCGTCCAAACAAATTCAATTAAATCATTTTGCATTGAACAAGCGCCAATTTTCCGAGTTGAAAATTATTTGGAACATTTTTGAAAAAAAATTGGTTTGGCTTTGGTTGTAGAATAAAAAAAAACTTTTCATTCACCAAAATCAATTAGTTTCAATTTGGCAGGAAAAAAAATGTCACTGGATTCCGTTCCACATTGATTCGTAATTAACTTTTAAAACCGAGCGGATTTTGTGTCACGTATCCAAACTAAAACTATTTTTGTCGTTTTGTTTGAACAACTGCATTTTTCAGGACGAGCTGGCGCCGATGGAATTCCTGGCAAAGACGGTCGAGATGGAACACCAGGTTGAAAATGAATAACGAAACTTATGTCCATATTTCGGTCCAACGAAAAAAAATCGTTCAAAATGCTAAACAAATAGATGAGTTTGTTAAAGCATTTCCATAAAATGCAAGAACTTTCTGCCCGAAAGTAATTTGTTATTGAACGGTTTGCATGGCCCGGAAATATGGATTTTATTCTGTAGTTGATTCGAAGCATATTTCTATCATGATCGTGTGTCGTATTCAATGAATTTGTGACCCGAATTTATTTGTCTCCGTTTGTTGCAGGTGCGAATGGGAAAAATGGCATCGATGGAAAAGACGGTAAGAGACTGTTCTGGTGTATTTTGTACAAATAATAGTCAAATATAACAATGTATGTGTGCGCGTTCAAATCACATTCACTCTGTATCTGCCTAATAAATTAAATTCCGAAAAAGCAATAACGTTTCCATTCACCAGTGGTTGGCCATTTTGATTAGAACCACTTTTCTCAGAAATGTAAACATTTCGTTGCTGTATAAACGCAAATTGGGAGATGGAAAATTCGATTCTGGAACATCGCTGTATATCCAATAGTAGCCAAAAATTCGAATTCAAATTCGAAATCGCACGTATGCAATTGTAATTAAAATTGAATTACGGAAATGTATTTGCGATACAGAGCGATTGAGAGCGTGATACGTATATATATATATTCGTTTTGGCACAACCAAATCACAAATTTACGACTCACATCAATCTGTTTGTCATTTCGGGTGTATTGAATCCATCAGATTGACGTTAGGCATGTTATTTTACACCTAGATTCAATTTTTGGAAATTGGTGCACGCTCATTCATCGCATGCGATGTCTCATTCAATTTTATCGAAATAATGTGTCAATTGTGTTTATTCATTCGTCTGACTAGATTTTTTTCTTGACTTGAGCACCCAACACCAACACTTAAGCATTTTTGTACTCATGTACCAACGCACATCACATCCTACGTGGCGCACAAAAAATTATTATCAATGGCCAACGGAACATTGTTTCTCGTCGATTCACTTCGAAAATGTCAAATTAACGTTGAATTTTATTTATTATGATTTTATTTGATTAGGTTTTATCTCTGAAAGGCATTTGGGCGCGACGAGGACGGCCACACCAATGCCGTTACGCACCAATAGCACGTGCGCCAGAATTTTTTCGGCAAACGCGTTCCTCTATCCTAATGGAGAACAAAAGTTTGCCTATTATCAACATTCAATTAGGAATTATTTCTTGTCATGCCGCAGTTTTTTTCGCTCTCTCTCTCTCTCTCTCTTGGGCTCTGCGCCGTGCGATACCAAACAGCCGATACAGTTTATCGGATATCATTATCGCCACATTTAAGAGCCTTTTAAGAGTTTTGATGGGGCCGTTTGCCATGGCTGTGCCACTGCCGATGATATTGATTGTAATGCTATCGCTATACCGCGAAACATAATAATCTTGGGTCACGAAAAACATATTATTACATTTCTCTCAAAAGTGTGTGTATATCAGCCAAATGGAGGGGATTTGTGTATTTCGTGACCGAATATGGGATCAGGTTTTCTTTTTGTTTCTGCTCGCTCGTTCTTTTTTTTCTCTCTCTTCATTTCTCATCTGTGTATTTTTGCCTCATTATTTTGGTGCCATCGGAAGTTTGACAACGACTAGACAAACTTTTTCATTTTGGGGCTGAATGCATGTGTGATGTGTCAATCGCAATGCATCCAAGCCTGTCATCATGCACGCACTTTTCCAGCACTTTTTTTTCGCCACCGCTATGCGGGAAGTTGGAAAAAGTTTTGCGCTCGCATTATACCAACGTGCTGGGATCAATATCAACGTAAACATGCCAATTCTTTGTTTGAACGCTTCATTCGCAAGAGGTGAACCAAAAATACATATTCGGCAATGCGAAAACCACCACGAAACAAATAGTTCTGTGTATCGAATTTTCGTAAGCATAATTGAACACAATGTGATATTGCGTGCATTTTGATTTATTCTCCGTCCCATTTTTCCGGCAGGCCTCCAACCGCGAAAATTTCGTTTGCTTTTTTCTTTAAATTTGATGTTCAATTTTCGAACGTTTGATCTGGATTCCACGAACGGCTTCGAAAACAGATTCAAAAATACACAGGTAATGCCTCCTCGATAGACACATAGCAACAAAATCAAAGTGAATTCGATTCAGATGCTTCAGAAACATTCATGGTGAAACGTGTCCAAGCACCAAACCGAAAAAGAAGAAGACGACGACGAAGAAGCAAAAGCTTATTTCGAGAGGCACACAGCGAAATAAAAATGTCGAAACGACGTCGACAAGGAGAAATAAACATTACATAAACACCTCGAATAGATAGCTTCTCAGTTCGATCAACCCTTTTTCTCCCTCCATCGACGTGAAATGAAAATGAAACGTGAAAGATTATCCATAATGCGAAACAGTGACCCGACGAATTAACTTTGTGTCACCGCTTCATGATGGATTCAACACCACGAATTAATTAAATTTCAAGTATTTGCCATACATAGATCTATGAAGTTGTATTACAGTGTCAACTGTTTTTTTATCTGTTGTGAACGGATTATGGATTACGTTGTCTTTTGCTTCCCTATATTCGTCCACTGTATGCGTGTGTCTGTTTTTCTCTCTTCAACGTTTGCTTTTCTGATGTCGGAAAAGAATGTCATGGAAATGGTAATGGAAATTGGAATAACAAAACATGTACGCGAACACACAGACACACGGAATGTTTTTCGTTTTAAAAATTATCTCTTCAATTTTCTTGTGTGTATGTGTGTTGATGTCTGCAAAATGGATGAGATAATCCGGCAGTATGGTCTCGCAAGAAATGTCGGCATACTTTTACGGTATTGTTCTTTCGGAATTTTATTTCGAGATGGGACAGAGAGAGAGTGAGAGAGAGAGAGAGCGAGACCGAATTCCTGAGGTTTTAATCTCATCGAAAATTTATCATAATCCACATAAATTCATTAAAAACTTTTGTCGCATTTGTTATAATAGGGTGGTTTGGTTTTTCTTTTCCATCGTTTAGGTAAGGATGGTCCACAAGGTCCACAGGGTCCGCCCGGATTGCCTGGCGAACGCGGTAAGTAATCCCATTACAATTTCACTTGAAAATTATTGCATCATTATAACTATCAAACCGAATTAATAAAATTCATTTGCGTAAACGCCACGTTTGGTTTGCAACGGTTCGTGAATGGGCTCAATTGCAATCGATTGTATTGTAAACATGGAATTTGCATCGAATCACAACCAAAACAAAAAAAAATGCCGACAAGAAATTTATATCGGCGATAACAGTTTGAATGGCATATTCAGGGCAGATGTACGGCATAGAAAATGACCGTCATTAAAAAGAACAACATCGAATTATCACATAATTATATGAAAATGGTTCGGTACGGAACCGGAACGGTTAATGACTCAACTATTAAGACTAGCAAACAAGACATTATTTATTGTCAAAAGTAAAATATAACCCTGAAAATGGCAATTATTGTCGAAAGCTCAAGGGGGATGAATATTCACGTTGTACGTTTATGGTATAAAATTCTCTAAAATGCACATAACTTTTTTTTCTTTCTTTTCGACGAAATGAACGCACAGAAAATTCGAGCATGACCTCAATTTGTTTGCTTCAAAGAAAAATACGAAACTTATTTGCAAACACGTAATCTCATTTGCGCCTAGGGGCATTTCTCACGAAAAGAATGAATGCATTCTTATAAATTTTAAAAAATTTCTTCCATCCGGTCCAATTCGATCAATTTTAATCAATTCGTGTAAATAAATGTTCATTTATACTGAACTTGTGTTCTAGATGTGGGTTTTGGTGGATCTCAAGGATCGTTTGGAACTGCTCCCGGTTCTGAAAGTGGATCTTCAGGATGGGCCAGGGCATTGTCAAACCGGATCTGATCCATCCTGGGGATCCACCAAAACCCACTTCCAGAATCGGGAGCAGTTCTGAACGATCCTTGAGATCCACTAAAACCTACTTCCAGAACACTTTTATTCAAGCAATATCGTCATTTCAGTACATTTTCTTACAATTTCAATAAAAAAGAAGAAATAATAGACATTTTTGCACATTTTCTCAATTTTTTTGTTTGAGAAATGCCCCTAGATTTGCGCTGAGGCTTTCAAAAGATGTTTACTGAAAATATTATTGCGGCCTTGGCGCAAAACTCGAACTGGTGTAATCCAAGCATTGGAAACCGACCCGGGCTCCAAACAGAGGCGATTGTGTGTGTGCTCGTGCATAAACTCAACGTAATATCTATTTTTAATTGACTTTGAATGTATTGAATTCGATTCCGCTGAATCGGAATATTTCATCGATATCAAAAGCGAGAGAGCAAGAGATGCGGGATCCCTTGATTTTTGTTCCGTTTTTGTTGTTCTTTCAGTTTTGGTGTAGTTCATTAATTAACAAGCAGCAGAAATAGACGAGAAAAAACGGCCATATCGCCATTTTCAGTGCTCTCATCGAATTGCCTCAATCACTCATCATACACATACATACACAAACAAACACTCTCACTATCTGCCCCTCATCCAAATTTCGAGAATCGTTTGCAATTCGATTTTCTTGTAAATATCCGAAACCCATGTTGTTTGCTGGGTTTGAATTGCGAGAACAAAGGCATTTCAGTGTTCGCATGTATTTGCGAATGTGCAATAAATGTGTCAGTAGACACAATCGAAATAAACTATGGAAATCAATCAAGTTGAAATTATATTGATCATATCATTCGATTCGTGTGTCGATGTGTGTGTGTGTGTGTGTTTGTATAGAAGTACAAAACGTTCTATTGATTTTCGATTTAACCATCTTAGTCAATACGCTTTGTACAATCTTTTGCACTCGCGTTGATCGTCGAACCGATTGCGTTGTGCGTGGTGTTGCGGGAAACGAGGACCAGAGGTGTATAGTGAGTTGAGAGTAGGGGAGACAAGAGTGAGAAGCGATGGCGTTGCTACGAACAGAGGCGAGAATTGCAAAAACGGAATAACACAGAAAAGTAAAACTGATTTTATGTTCGTTGGCCATAAAATAAACATGACAAAAGATCATCGTATTCACCGTGGTCTTACACAAACATGCCACGAACCAATCTTATAATTCTAAATAAATTCAATGCTCGTCAGTGAGTATACTTGGGCATTCCGTAAAAAATTGCTTTCATTTCCCCCAACAAACACACATATATACGCAACAGAGCGCGGGCGGGTGGGCACGCACAAACATACACCAAACGTGATGCAATCGAATGAAAAAATCACGAAAAAAGAAAGAGTAACGATAAATCCGGGTTCAATATGTTTGCCGTGGAAAATATCGACTTAAACATCGAATGTGAGATAGTAATAAAAAAAAAGTGCACCGCATATATAAAGATGTGAGCAAACGGATGGACAGACGAACGAACGAACGAACGAATGGATGGAAAGGAAAGTCTCTATATTAGCTGACATCGACAGAATTTTCAGCTGGTGTTTACACGATAAATTCTAATTCCGAATTGGAATGTACTCGGGGCATAATAATGGTTGGGCCCGTGTGTATTTATGAACTAAGCACGCACCGACAGTTCGCTGTTTGTGTTTGTATGTATGTATGTGTGTGTGTGTGTGTGTGTCGCAGCAGTTATACGATTACCATAATAGGTTAATTTCGAATATACTCCAAACTCAAACGCTGTTGAAACATGGAACAAGCCAATGAACAGAAGCAATACCACTGACACATTACAACAAATTTGCTCCAATGAGAGATGCCATCAGTCCGCCGAGAACCGTGACTGCTTAGCGAAATACACACACAAAAAACACGAAGAACAAGAGAGAAAAAAAGGCGGAAGCCACTTGCCGAATGAAGCAGATTTCCTCTTCGACACGTAAAATGAAAAGAATTTTTGAATACACACACGGAGTGAGAGAGAGAGAGAGAAAGAGAGAGAACTGTGAGACTGCGACCAGAGACACACAAGTGTATAAAAGAAAAATGTTTGTCTGACGTAGTGCAACGGCACCATCTGAATTGAATCACAACGACAAAATGCATCTATTCCGTGTCGTTTCGGTTGGGATTTGCTCATGACGCTTCTTTTTATTCGGCCGCTGTTTATATCACGAAATTTAAAGAATAAACAACGTAGAGTGAACGTGTTTGTTGACCATTTTACTGGCGCAAACCTTCACATTTGTTCTTCATTTCGCTTGTATCTGCATACCCATGTTTCTCTCTTCGGTTTTTTTTTGTTTTCTTCATTCAGTTGTCCCTGTGTGCTCGCTGTTCTTTTTATTTGAGCATGTTCTGCTCATTCTTAAGCATAATTTATTCATTTACAGAGGATCGGCCGGTTTGCGGGGAGAGACCAGACCTATCACATACCGTGTAATTCACCACAATGGAAATCATTTGAACGATTACACGATAACATTATACCGCATTCACGGTGATTTTGCACAGACGCTAAAGCCGCTAGAAAGAAAGCTCGGATACATGTACATCTGTCAATATAAACATTTTTTTCTCTTTTTTTTCTTTGCTTTTTCGGGAACATCGGGGAGATATAATATGTGTTTGTCGAATCGTTGTGTTGCAACATGGCATTTCGTATTCAATATTCTTGATCCAGATTTCCATATTTGTGTATCAGACACGATGCGAAATCGTTTGTTTTATTTTCCATTTTTTTTAGCTCTGTTTACTTCTTCCCGAACTAAGCGCGACTTGATACAACAGCAGAAGAACAACAATAAAAAGTACTTGCTTTTTATTGTTGTTCTTCTGCTGTTGTATCAAGTCGCGCTTAGTTCGGCTAATACGTGCAAACAGCTCATCCTGAGCAATCCATTGCATATCTGAAAGACAATCGACACACGACAACTGAATAGCATATGCCACCTGGGCCCGTGCAAATACATTAAGAAAACAATATATGGATGTTATAATCGTATGCATTTATTTGTCATCATAACGATATAAATACGACACTCGGTGTTGTTCCAGATTTTGTTAACATACTTTGTTCGTTTTACTATGTTTTTTCTTTCTCTCTCGAGCTGTTCTCATCTAACGTGTGCACGCGTGGCCTTTCTTTCTGTTTTCGAAATATTCAAACGCTTCGAGGATGTTGAAGATGCATATAGTGTGCTGTCTATGTAACTGAGATTTAAACAGACAACACAGCTTTGTCTTATTGTCGAAGCATATTACGAAGGGAGAAAAATATTGTCGTCTTTGAATTGATTTGAATTTATTTGTATAGCACACTTGTATTTTCTACTGGGTCTCGTTTTTTATCGTTCGTTCGTTCATGTATCGTGTTGAACTTTTTTGCTTCTTGGTTTTTGCTCGATTTTATTTTTGCATCGTCAAAAGCTCGTTTTACATGAATTTAACTATGTAAAACATTGATTTGAGAGATTTTCATTGAATATTCTCGTTTCCTTTGCTTGCACACACTGCTGTCTTTTCTCCGGTTTCATTTTTTCATTCCGATTCGTTCCAATTTCAATGAATTGCATGGAATTATATTGACATAATGTCTCATAAATTTTAAGTCGGATTAACTAATAAATCTGTTTGGCATTGTGACAATAAAAGTCCCGTTGAATTCACGCTGCAAACGGCAGCACACATATTGACATAAATAATTAAAGACTTTATAAGCGTTATTCAAACGCAAGGGAGGGAGAATGAAAGAGATAGAGAGAATATTTTAATATACAAGTACCTGTCGATGTTTCAGAGATTTTGATTCGCTCGTATGCAGTGAGACATTGTGAGTGCCTTTCGATTTGATGAACAGTACAACATTTCGTTTGCATTGGAGTGGCGGGGAATGGGTGAAGTGTAATAGGTTTTTGAAATGATTTAAAGCTCTATTTAACGGATGAATTTCCTCGACTTATAATTAAATCGACGTTGATGAATGGATGCGCCCGTTTCGATTTTGAAGCCATCATTTAACCCATTTTACTCTTCTTTTGGAACCCAGCGATTGCTGAGCTGCACTCGCAATCCGTGTATCGATTACAGAACACACACACACACTCACACACACACCGATTCGAATGAACTGTAAATTGGCAATAACAAGAAAAAATGGCTCAATAAACATTAACAACGATATTCAAGCTCAGACGAGATGAGATTGAGAGCAAAATCGACTGCACTGACCAAAAAAAAGAAGAGGCGAAACGAATTAAAATTTAGCCGGTGTACAATTGTCGAAAAGCATTTTATCGTTTCTCACCCTCCCCCTCGCGCTCTCTCTCACTCACTCACTGAATCGTTGTTGTTGGACGAGAGTGCGGCATTATGCGGTGTTACAATGTAAATTGAACGACGAAAAGCATTTTGGTAGATAATAAATTTCCGAAAACTAGCGCCAAGCTTAAAGAGTCATTTCGACTATTTACTCAGCAAAGCACACACACACACACACAAACGGTATGAACGAGCTGGAAAAAAAGGCATACACTTTGCTAAGCCAACACAATAATAATCGAAATAATCGCTTTGGTGCGCGGGAATGTCGCAGGTATATATTACCATATTGTGTGTAGTGAGGATGCTGTTGCGCTTTCATTTAAATCGCAAATGTTGGTGACGATGTTTGTTGGTGCTTTTATGCCCAAACACAATATAATTTAATACCGGACAATGAAAAAAAGACAAGCGATGAAAATGGGATTTAAATTCGGTGTTTATTTCCACAATGTAAATGCTTGGGGAAACGAATGCTGGCTACTGGCGTCGCCATTGCCGCTGTTATTGCCACCGTCGTTGAAAATCTCTTTCTCCCGTCTCATGCTCTTTTCTCGCTCCAAAAAGCTTTCAAATATCCCAGCATAATATGCTAAACCAGCCAAAAACAACACCATCCACCAGTGCAATGCAAATTCGCACTGCATACGTAATGCTACCAACTCATTTTCGCGAAAAATTAGTAGTACCTTACCATCTTTATCATAAAAATCAGTATGCTGCTCGAAAAATCAGTATAAAAATCAGTATAGGCCAAAAAATACTTGAATTCAAGTGAAATTCAGATGAAATAGAAAAATTTTATTAAAAAAATAGTTCAAAATGTCTTTAAACTGATGATCTTAGCTATTCGGGATCATCGAAATCATTTTACCGGGACTTTGGTTTGGCTTTGGTTTTGTTTTTTTGAAATTGTTTTGTTTCTTGGGTAGAGATTTTATTCAAAACGCGAATTATCCAATGACAGCGGAATTCGGTGCATATAAATTTCATATTAGATTGATCAATTAAAATTGACTTCAAAGTTTTGATTTGATCAAAGGAGAGCAGAACTTAAATTCGTGCACATCTTGTTTGGATATTTTCTTTGCGGAATCTCAAAATTGGCGTTCCTGGAAAAAATAGCACATATTTGATTAAATTGGAAACATTTTCAAAAGGGCTCGAAAATCTCTACCCATTTAGATTCTGCAAATAGTTTCTTTACTTTCCATTTATTTACTTTATACTACAATATATATTTTAAAAAATCCTTTTTTTTCTGTAAATCGCCGAAATTCCGAATAAAATTTGATGGAATGTTGAAAATCAGTATAAATCAGTACGCAAGTCAAAAAATCAGTATAGATACTGAATTCAGTATACTGATTTTTCTGGCCAAAAATCAGTATGATACTGAAAAAATCAGTACAGTTGGTAGCATTATTAGCATACGACTCAATTTCATTCTCAATGAATTGTATTTATAAATAGTCATGTGCGCGGCTTTCTTAAATTACAAATTCTAATTATCCATTTATCATTTCGCATTTAGCCTGATTTGGCGCCTCGGTATTTATGTATATTCTGTCGTTTTTAATTCATCGCTCACTTTGTATGTGCGTTTGCCGTAATTTATTTTCCGATGTTTTCGCACCGTCACAATTTCGACATTTTTTTCAAATCAGATCTCTCTCTCTCTCTCCATTCTCCTCCTGCAAGCTCTCCATGTGTACTTCGGAGAAGCTAAACGAGATTTCCATTTTAAACAATATTGAAAGAAAAATAAAATTATTTACTAGTTCATTGTGTGTGTGTATTTGTCTCGATTTGAACGCACTTGCTTCTGCTCCAGCGCTTCATTTGCATTGTCAACATTTCGGCAGGCATAATTTATGAAGGGTCTCCGCTTGAATTGAAAATCTCATGCGAAACGAGTAATTTTTCGTGTTTTACTCTGTGCTGTTCTTGTTGGGAATTGTACACTTCTGCAACGATTCCGCTCAGATGTGCTGACGTTGTTATTGTTGCTGTTGTTGGTATCCAATGTGTGTGTGTCAAACGTTATTTGCGGCCAATTGCAAAATTAATAGTCAAACGAAATATCATAATGTATACATTGTTTCGTTGCACACGTAAACACAAACTGAAAATGGTTTATTTCAGCGCGATTCCCAATTCCAAGTCGACTTTATACACAGTCCGTTTATTTTATATTTATCCGGATCGCTCTTTCGTAAATTATGGTTTAAAATGTAATTGCCGAATGTTTTGCATACATTGAGGCATGCTGCAGCGACACGATTCGATGTGGAAACGCATGCTGTTTGGCCACTGGGATTCACCGACATGCAGCGCAATACACAGCACATTTTTGTTTATATTTGGTTATGCTGAACGCTGGTTGTGCTTCATCAATTTTCAAACCGATCTTGTTTTTTTGTTGTTCGGGTGCAAATGTGACCGAATACAGCCTCACATTGCCGCTTGATATTTAATTCATTGATTTATTGATAGAAAAACGACCATTTAACTAGTCAACGATGAGCCGTTAAGCGACGAAGCGAAAGTTGAAAAATTCAGAATCAATTTGAATTAATGGATTTACACTAACAGCACAGAGCGCACGCAAATATTTACGACCGCCAAACATATACGAAACGAACACAGCTCGTGCGCTCGCGCGATTTTCAACATGAACGAAACGAATTCCGATGTGACATAATGATCGCGAGCACAGCGGAACATCGATTTAATTTACGCGTGAAATTTATAATTAACTGTGCAAGAATTATACGAACTGATATATCAATGTCGAATCGATTCTTTGGTTCACGGGGAAAAGGGACGATTTACAGTGGCCCAGTGTTGAAAAGTTCGTGCCATGCAATGTGGCTTTTGAAATGGTGATGATGTCACTCTCTCGAAAGTCATTGCATTCCCTTGTTCTACCTTTGGCGTGATACTTGCTGGAGCAATAAAAGCGATCCATAAAATGTTGGCTACTTGCGAGAATCACCGTTTCGAATTAATTTCCAATGTTCAAGTTGGTAATTATGACATTCCATAAAAGCTCAACTCGACGAAACTAACCGGATCTCCTTCTCTTTTTTTCTGCTGTTATTAGCCCAAGTGGTTGAAAATGCTTTCGTAACAGAAAACGAATTAACACATAAAATGCGTGAGTGCGTAAGAGTCAAAAGAAAAGTGCACTCAATGCTGTTCAGCATCTAATAACACCAGAATGGTCGAGAAGCAGTGAAAAATAACGAAAATTTGTCGTCCACCACTTTTGCCCTTAATGAGAGTGAGTCATGAGTTGGCACTCTTATACGGCCATAGCCAATGACTCTTGATTGCATCTCCTAGCAGTGCAAAGTATTTCTCATATCTATCCATTTTCAAATAAAAATAAACTAAATGGGACTAATTGGATTAGTTACCAGTCTCTGTTTTTTTTTTCTTTGTCTTCTTGATCTCTTTAGTAAGTAATTTTGAGTCTCAAAGCTTGTACAATTTAAATTAAATTCCATCATTTTGCTCTTATTTCCATTTTCTGTCTTATATTTTCTTGCTGGCGTTTGCTGCAATTTCCAAACTCAATGAATTTGGGGTGTTTGGGAATCGTGTGCATGCCATTCCATTCGATTTTTGATATGGAACACAAATGTCATCATCGCTGCAGGTTTAACTGGACCAAGAGGTACGTATAATTGCTGTGGCGTACGAAAAATCAAAAGTTAACACTTTCGTACAATGCAAATAATTATACTGATACGTATGTTATATCTATGATGTAATTGCATTGCAATGTAAAAACCATTATGAATATTCATTTTATTAAAATGCACATGTTCATTTTTTGGATTTTTTTTTCTTTCTCTGAACTCATTTGATTCCACGCTCATGAATGGAATGACGCTATTGTTCACAGGACGCAGTGGACGACCCGGCCAAAATGGAAGTGAGTATATGGCATAAATTGAACGTATTAACTTTTGTTGCCCTCCATTTGACAACCTCATGTTTTCATTTGGATTTCCACTACATGGAATTTAATGAACATTTAAATATAAAATAAATGGAACTGAGTTCTTTTTACCTGCCGTTAAGTTTATGTCGTGAATTTCATGGTTCATTTACAAGAACATGTGTGAATATTCCGAGAGAATGAAAGTGATAGTGTGGGAGAGAAGAATGTCGTTTGAATTCCGAATGTCATAAGTTTATCAAATTCGTTCTTTTAGTTCCTGGCCAACCTGGCATAGTTGCATATAAATACGGATTGGATGCGGGCAAATTGCACATTCCACCGTCGGAGGTGGGAAAACTACTGATTCCACCATCGATTGCAGGCAAGTATCATTTATTGGAAAACAGTTTTTTTTTTTTGAAGAGTGTATTCAGTCTCGTTCCAACAATAAGTCCGTAGATTTTTTTTTTTCAATCTCAATTCCTCATATTATTGCAAAGCGGAGAAAAAAGAAGTTAAAGTATGGATGTTTTTTTTTAAGTTTTCGATGTTCAATAAATTCTCTTCACCCCCATTTATTTTTTCCGTTTAACGATCAATGTGTTCTGATTAAAATTCTGCTGAGCTGGTTTGCCGTTCAATGGCCATTGTTTGAAGTGGTTTCAGGGAATGAGGAAAGAATGAAAAAAAAAAACACAATGGATGGAACTATGGATTTATGCCGTTATGAAATATTATTTAACATTACTTAAGCGTACATTATATTCTTGCCAATGAGAACAAAGGACCACTTGAGTTCACATCTCTCAAAGATCCATTCAAGCAGATGTATATTACGTGATCACATGGTATATACGTACCATATACGCATCACTTGAACATTTGATTTATAGTGTAAAATAGAATAGAATATTTTGCCGTATGATGACCGACGATAATCTGATTGGGGTCGTGATCGAATTAACGAATATCCAATGTGCCATTTATTCAATGCTGATGATATTACGCATTTTCAATACAAGTGCTGTAATCTAAATGGTTATGGACTTTAATTAAAAATGAATTTAATCGCTTCTCATTTATCTGACAATGGCAACGGCGACGGTGGTGGCGGCGGTGATACTAATTGAAAACGTTTAGGCGGTCCAAACAAGCCGATTGTTGTGGTCGAGGATCAATTCCTTCGAATGCGTTGTGCTGCCGGTGGTCAGCCGCGGCCAGAAGTCGTTTGGTATCGATTGGATGGAAGGCCCATCACCGATGGAGCCTGGCAAGGTAAGTTACACAATTCATACACGTCATAAAAATCGACTATTTGCATTTCCAGTGTATTCACCCATATACCGTACCAGTAGGCGGTTATTTGTTTAATTGTTATTCATTACTTCAAATTAATCTCAACCGACTGGTGTTAAAATCACATGATTGTCATCGTTGCCACAACACTCACACGAGGTATTCACATTTAATAAGGATCATCGTAACGACTTTTGTTGCTGTTACTGTTACTGTTGCATTTCATTCATTTGATTATGTGATTGATATTTGAATGATGAAATTTTTATGGTCATGGCTGGGTTTATCCATTTATTTTGGTGATTTGAACTTCACATAATGCGTACATTCAACAAGACCCGTTGTGCCCATTGAAATCCAGCTGCGTTCTATGTAATGCAGTCAATGTAGCTGGGATCGACGGAGCATTATCTATTCAAGAATGACCTTTGTACTGCGGCGCCAGATGCACGACCATCCCAGGGATGGATATATAGTATATATGGATGCTTTATTCACACGGATTTTGTGTACAAGCATTCAAACCCTATTGCCTGCATGTAGACAACAGCCCTTCGAAAGCATCAGCATCAAAACACTGTAAACACACTGTGAACCAGTTGGGCAATGATAGCAAATCTCCACATCAATGAAATATTAATTGAAATAAAAGGAATTGAGATTGAGGCGACGTGTGCAATGAAATTGCCACCGACGATTCATCTTTTTTTTACCACATTCCTCGTCCGACATTGTAGATGCTCAATATACTTATACCAAATTATCTATTTATGCACAGTGTCTTCAATACGTGATCACACAATCAATATAACGCATGTGAATCGTGTTCATAACGGTATCTATGTTTGTGTGGCGAATAATGGCATTCCGCCCGCTGCAAATGCAACATTTCAAATCGAAGTTCACTGTAAGTACTTTATTTTTGAAGAAAAAAAAACAAAAAAAAAACAAACATGGCATTTATGTCCAATCCATAACCATATTTCCTATCAAATGAGACCATGAATCAATTGAGATCGATGTGCTTGTATGGGCATAAGAAGAAACCATTCGATATTCAATAAATTCAATTCAATGGAAATGGTGGAATGCAAATGTGCAATGGGAATTTATTTCCGAACATGAATTTGAATGAATAAAAAAAGGCGATCATGCATTCATTTTTTGATGATGATTCTTTTTCACTCCTTATTCTTCTTGTACTTCTTCATTAAAATAGTTCCGCCATTGATTCGTGTGAGAAACCAATATTTGTATGCGTTCGAAGGAGGATCCGTGTCATTGGAGTGTGAGGTAAGTACACTAAGTACATTACGTTTCAACATAAATCACTTTGTATTGCATTTCAATTTTCTTGTTAGCAATCGAATACGCTTTTCACAAAGCGTTTCACATTCATATTCAACCCGTGTTACGTCTTTCTGTGTGCGTGTGTGTGTCTACAGAGAGTCGAAACTCTAACTCCTGGTGCACATACACACACATGAGCAAACAGTGAAAAGTTAGTTGATTTTAGATTGCCAAGTAACAAAAGCATCTTTACACTGAAGTGGGCACATCATGCACAAAAAGGTGTCGTTTTCTAGATATGAATCTAATACACGAATCGAACATTGGAAACGTGCATATTGCTACCATAAACCCATGCAATTTATTCGCTGCAATTTTCCTACTGATACTGCTTACTGCTGCTGCTGCAGCCAATGCCCGTGTAATAATCAGCTTTTCAAAACAAACACAAGATATTGGAGCGGCATATTCGCAGAAATGCTGCAATTCAAAGATGTATTTACAAAGAAATGGAATTGAGAGCAAAACTCAAAAGCAGCAGCAGCAGCAGCAGCAGCAGCAGCAGCAGAAGAAGAAAACACTTGAATTGAAAGCCATTCAAACAGAAAAACAATCAAAGCTGAAAACCGTTGAGCTTTTCCATCGGTTTTGTTTCACATGGATAGAGAGAAAATGGTTTCGCCTTTTGTGTGATTCATTTCAAATTATCTCTATTGATGCACCTGCGTTTCATAATTCGATTTATTTAATTCAATCGTTACACTGGCATGCACATGGCTCCACCACACCAGAACGCACACAACATCCAGTTAATTGTGTAACAAGGGATCTCTCTACCTCAATTTCCAATCATTTTCTTTTCGATGGAATCGCAAACAACGGAAAAGACGTTCGAATGATGCGATTGCAACAGTATTGTGTGCATACAATTTCAATCGTATTGATATCGATACATACATCCCGTTAACCAAATCTCAACAATGTTTGATGGTTGACGACGACGAAGACGACGGCGACGAAGAAAAAAGATAGAGAGAAATCGACTCTTTTATACCGGATCCTTTGAAGGTTTTTTTTTTCTTTGCTTGGCAAATATGTACGTGAAAAAGGAGCATAAGTACACAAATGTCAGTGCTTAAGCTCACTAAAATGTCTATGGATGCAGAGCAGAAAAATTGCAATCAGATTTTTCATTATTTGCAACGTTATTTCGGAATATTGCTTCACTCAATCTTCTCTCGCTTGATCGAGTCGTACATTTTTCTCGGATGCTGCATCTTTGTCTACTCCTTCTTCGGTTTCGTTTTCCTTTTCACTCCCTTTTTTTTAACGTTTATTCATTTGTTTGGTTCGTGGCGATATTTCGTGTGATGGCATTTTTTCGTACGTTTTCCATTTTTTCCCTCCTTGTTGAGGAACACTTTGCCATTGTGTTTGTGCTGTTGCATCGCACGCGAACGCGCGCTTACGTTACTGAATTCCGTAATGCTTGCGCAGTAACGACAGAAAATACACAGTGACAGCGACATCATCCGTTGCATGTGATTATATGGCCATGGCATTCCATCATTGTCTTATCCAGCTTTGCCATCTTTTTCCATTATTACTTTTCTCACTTCGTACCATTATTGTTATTATTATCATTCAGTGTGCCATCGTTATATCTCCTCCCCTCTCTGCGTGTATGTGATTATGCATATTTTTGTAAGTTTTGCTTCAAAATCATTCGTTTCTTCTTTCTTTCCATACTCTGAAAAAAATCCCGAAAATTGAAATGAAAAGCTCAACATTTACTTTGTGCAATAATTTTTATGGTAGACACCACCATAGAATACAGAAGTAGGAAAATATAAAGGAGAAAAAACTGCGAAATGAAGTAAACCAGCAAATACTTAAAAGTTTTTAAATCGCTTTTTTTGGCCGATAATCACAACGACGAATAATATCGGAATAAAAGCATAGAGATGCTTCAGTGAATGGCTCAATTTGAACTAATTCACACAGTTTACAATGAGCTAAAGAAGACGGACAGACACACATACATACACATATACTCATACATTTACAATGATCAAATCAAAATATCCATGAGGCAATGAGGTTTTTGCGTGTGTCGCACGTTTTCCGTCCAAGAGATAACAAGCGTTTTAATTTTACAATCGTACACACCAATAAAAAGCGAACCGAAAAAAGGGAAATATGCAAACACACACCGATGTGTGATGGTATTCATTTCGACTGGTGTTTGTTGACCGGAGAATATCAAATGGCTGGTGTATTTTAAAGACCACCATTCATGTTATTTGTTCGTCAAATAACAAAAACCGACTGTAGCTCCCTCCGTACTCTCTCCCTCTTTTACACTTATTCAATTTGGTATTGTCTATGGACGACAAAACTGGATCAAATTCTCATAATTTCCATTCATAAACTTATCCGATTTGATTACAACTAAATGGCATTTCACTCTGTGTGTTTATCTTCCGCCCATGCACCTCCTCCCCGCCCATCCACTGTTATCTTTGTTGTCTCTGTTAGACGGAAGCATTTCCGGAGCCGTTAAAGTTTTGGAAACGTCGTTCAGATAATCGAATCATCGACCAAAACGATAAATATCGCATGGAAACCTACACCGACGGGTAAGCGCTTTCAAACATATCAATACAAAAGACCGCTCTATTCTCTCTCACACTCATTGTCACTCGTGTTTGCGTGTGTAATAAATTTGTTTATTGTTTTGCAGCTACAAATCGTTGATGCGTTTGAACATAACAAATGTTCGACCTGAAGACTTTGGTGAATACGAATGCGTTAGCAAAAATGATATAAACACCACAGCAGCAACATTTTTCGTTTATGGTAATTTTTTTTCTGTTCCGATCCGAATTCCAAAAATAACGAGGAGAAAATTGTTGATTTTTTTATTGTGTTTGTTTGATTGTTTGTTATTGTCATTTTCCTCAGATGGAGCACGTCATCCAACGCGTACATATTCGGATATTGCAGTGTTTGGTACACTACCACCAAAGCCCATATCATACAGTGAATTTTGTCCACCGCCAAATTGTCCAGCACCAAATTGTGATGAACATCGATGCAACAATGCTTACATCCATGATGTTGACATTCGACAATTGCATTTTAAAGGCATTCGATTTCCGGGCATTACAAATCGAACATTCGGTATGTATGCGTTTCTGTGCATTTAATTTCCTGTTGACTTTATCAGTGTGTGTGTGTGTGTGTGTTTTCTGTGTCCATCGTTGGCATTTATTATTCGTTGTTCATGGGTAAATACATTTTAATGGTGAGAACGTATTCAGTTCAGTATTCATGCGAATAATTTCCTTAATAGGGACACCCGAAACGTAAAAAAAAGAAGCATAACAAAAAAAACCATCAGTCGGAAAAACAGATTTGCGTTGAGAGTGAATTCGAAATGAATATACAATTAATTGATATGCATTTATTTTTGTGCCATCGAAATTAAAATTCGACTCTCTTGCACTGGTTGTTTTATTTCATGGAAAACAACGAGAGGGTGAGGAAAAAAACACAACCAATGCACTCACACTGTTCATGGATTGCGAAATGGTCGTAATCCTTCTTCATTCGTTGTTCATTAATTTGATGTTAGCGCATTGTTTGCATTTCGTTTGTGCGTGCGTGCATGCGTTCGTTCGTATTTAGTAACCGATTTCCGAAATTCCAGCTATAAATAGTCGTCCCAAATACGTTGATGAGATATATCTTTCATCATTTATTATTTTGTGCCATGGTAAAACTGAAGCTTGATTGAATGCACTTAATGAACGGATCAAATCCGTCATAGAACGTGGTAGTCAAAAGATGGGGCACATGGCACACACATTCCGAAATAAATTACTTTAAGCATTGAAAATGACTTGTGAATCAATTTTATTTACGTTTTCTTCTTCTCCTGCTCTCTCGCTTTTTCCCATTCTGGGAATATTTAATATCTGTTGAAAAGAGCAAATATGTCAGATTAATTTTAGGGTGTCAAGTATTCAACATTCGTTGACACAATATTAATTCTTTCAATATGCGCACGTCATTGAGCACAAACCGAATAAAAGGATAAGCGGCACCAAACTATTAGAATGAACGTGCAAGTGATTTGTTTTCATGAACGGCACAGTTCGTACATACACGTGTGTGTGTGTGTGTGTGTGTGTGTGTGTGTGTGTGTGTTTGTATGTGTTTGAAACAAAAAATGAACAGTTTAAGCGTAAAAATTTATGGAAATTGCAGAAAAATGCAAGAGGATAGTGTTTTTGTAAAAGGGTTCAATGCTATTTATGAGCATTTCCATATTGCTCAAAAACTCATTCAGACAGTCAACAGCAGAAAGCTGGCAAAGCGACACGGCATAACATATATATAACAAGAGCGAAAAAGAGCGGAGCTGCGAATGAGCAAAAGCCAGAGAGAGAGAGAGTGAGATAGAGAAAGAGAAAGCACAAAATATTCTCGATTTTGAATCCTTGGCACAACGGTTACACGCTGAAAACATATTAAAAATGTATAAATAAGTGCTCCCTTAACGCCACACTGAACATTGTTTGTTTATCCAGTGCACATTTTGTAATTCTCACACAGTTTTCATTCTCATTTTCTCTTAAATTCTCGCCTCCCTTCCCGTCATTCGTTGTGTCGCTCTTTTTCTCTTCGCGTCTCTGGCTTCTGCACTCTGTGCGGCTGGCCCGCAGTCCATCCATATTTTTGTGTGATTTCGTTTTCAAAAGCGTTGGAATTCAGATTTTTCTTTCATTTCGGTTATATGTTTGGTTGTTTGTGTTTTTATTTTGTCGGTTCGTTGTATATGACGTAAACATTTTTATTCTGTTTGAAGCTATGCTTTCCGTTATCCACTTGGTTTTATTCGCTCAGCATTTTTTCTCTCTTTCTCTCTCTCTCTCTCTCTCTCTCTGAATAGATTAAATAAAAGAGTAAACATTAAAAATGATAATGCTGCTGATTCTTTTTTTTTATTCCTGTGTTGTCATTTGCCTCTCTCGCACTCTCAGCGAGTTTTGCTCACTCCATGTTCGTCTCTCGCTCGCAAATAATTTATTCACTTTTATTACTCGACTTTATAGTATATGTTTGTGCAATGCTCTTTGCCACTGTTTATTTCTCACTTATGCTCTTCATTCCCATTATCCGCAATGTTCACTTGTTGTCTGTATTACTTTGATACGCGCTGGCTTTATTCCGTGTTTCCCCCGATCGGACTATCATCATCGTTGGCACAGTGTACTAGCTTTTTTATTCCTGCCTGTGCTTTTGTTTCTTCGGTTCTCAGTGGATATTTTTTTCCGGTGGTGCTGCTTTTGCCGTTGTTTTTATTCGTGTTCCATTTTTTTTTCATTTCTTTTCTTGCTTACTCTCTCTCTCTCTCTCTCTCTCTCTCTCTCTCTCTCTCTCTCTCTATTCCTGCAGATTGTGTGCTGTATGCTGTCGGAAAACCAGTTTATCATAAATCAACAGATGTAACGTATGGATCATGGCTAAAAGATTCTCATCCACGCACAAAAGAATTCAGCGAAAAAATATGGACCACATATGAAACGGATCGTAGCATCATTTATGAATTTGCCGACAAAACAAGTTTCCGAAATAATCAAGCGAATGAGCTGCGCCTAAAGTCGCCCGGATTCCAAGTATGTTTCATTTTTCTCGATTACATCTCATCCTTTCGTTGGTTGCCCGATTTTGTTCGTTGTTGTTGTCGGGTTTTACAGTGTATTTCGGCTGTTGTTGATGGTGACTGGTTGGCACACCAAGAGTGGAAAATCCCATTTAATTTATTTCATGTGATTTTTTTTTCGCTTTCATTTTTAATTTTGCTATGTCGACGCTCACAGGGCAACGCACACGTGGTCTATAATGGTTCATTTTACTATCATCAGAAAGACAGCCCGACCATCATTCGATACGATTTGGAGAAGCGCGAAACAATTTGTAAGTATTTCATGGGAGCATACAACGGCCAGCTCCATTCATTTCACTTCCTCTGACGCCTCAATTGTATTCATGCAAAATTTTAATGAAACATTTTCAATCTGATGCCATGAATATACTATACGGTTTGGTTTCGTTTTGCTTTGGCTTTCTACATAGGTAATGTAACATTGCCCGAATTTCAATGGACTGGCGATCACTATCTCTACACAACCAAATGTAACTATGTGGATTTGAATGCCGATGAAAATGGACTTTGGGCAATTTACTCAACACCAAAATCGACTAACACATACGTGGTTAAGGTAAGAATGATGATGATATCCCCCTGAAGGCACAAGTGCAAAAATCTCTCTCTTAACTTATTTCAACAAACTTCAAAAGCGAATTATTCGATTTTAAAATCGTCTTTCTCTTTCTCTCTCTCTCTCTCTCTCCGCTTTATCTCCTATTTCAATTCACCCGAATCAATTAGCTTGATGCAATCACTTTGGAAATTCAGTACGGTTGGAATATTAGCATAAATCATAATAAAGTAAGTTCAACGCAGACCCATTCATCTCTGTTTTATGTACATCAGCATGACATGAGTTGTGTGTAGATGGGCCGTTTTCTTTATGGAATTTCGTGCATGCTGTTGGGCCACAAAACATACAACTTTCGTTTTCTCAATAAATTTGCTTGGTGTTCATGCCACGCACTTTACACTCTCTCAACGTGTATGATTTATTTGCAGGTGGGTGAAATGTTCATCGTTTGCGGTGTGCTGTATGCCATCGACTCAGTTACCGAACGAAATACGAAAATCCTTTTGGCACTGGATTTGTATCGCGGCTACATTTTGAATGATATCAACTTATCGTTTACCAATCCATTCAAAAATACCACCATGGCTTTATATAATCCAGAAACCAAGGTATTTCCTATCGCTCTACTTTGTCATCGCATTACCATTATCATACACACAAGTATGACAAATGAATTCATCATTTTATTTGTCGCTTTTATTTCTTTCCTTTTTCTGTTCCCATTTCACTTCAACAACACTTTTCTTATGGCACTTGCATTCGCAGGAACTTTTCACATGGGATCATGGCAATCAACTCACCTATCCAATACGTTACAATGACATGACCAAATATGCATCGGCAAGCGAACGCAATGAAGAGGCATACAATGCACACATCCAAACTGGTTACGATAACAATGAATAGAGATTAATTTTATTTGGTGTTTGTATGATTTGTTTGTGTGTCTTTTCGTAATTTTCGGCATTTGTCTGTCATGCTCTCCTTCTCTGTTTTTATACTGTACCACAAAAACCCTCCTGCAAACTGTAACTTATCATATTCTCACATTTTGTCGGAACATTTGCACCCAACTTTTCGGAAAAGAAAAAAAGAAAAATCAAAATAATTGCGTTTTCAATTCGATTCAATTTTCTTACTTTACTTGGACATTTTTAAAGTCGATAAAAGAATGAATGATATTGAATCGCTACCCGAATCGATCAACACTTCAATACACAATCCAGAAAGCATACACAATTTTTTATGTACATAAAAAAAGGAAAAAAAGAGAGAAAAGAAAATCGTAGATAAGTAAGAAGAACGTTGTAAATGCTATATACTTCAATGACGATGTGAATTTATTGACATAGAAATAAAAAAAAAATTGAATGTATCACAATAAAAAGAAGTTTTTTATTTCTCATTGAAAAAATTTATATTATGAATTTGAATTTTAGTACGGTAAAAGTTGTGTTTGCTCTTGCAAAGAGAAGATTTGAAAGCGTTTGCCACAAAAAAACCGTAAGTAGTAGCTCCCTCTATGGAAAATCATCCACATTCAATGCTAAGTGTTATAAGCTCGTGTTATACCACATCAATTCGGTGCTGTAGGATGTTGTTGTTGAGATATGACAGCTGTCAGACGAGGCTTACATTTGTTCATACAAAATTGCGGAAAAATGGCAGCCTTACGCCTGAATAGTGTAAAAAATCTAACAAAACACTTTTTAAATGGCAATTGTTACACACAAATTCGACCAAAATCTTCGAATGTTCTCACTACGGCCCTTGGATCATTGAGCACAGTCGAAAAAGTCGTGACAACCAGTGATGATACCACATTCATTTCATGGCATCCAACGCATGATTTCCCGTACGAATACTCGAAACCATTGCCGCCACCCGCTATTCCAACCAGCACCCTACTGAAGGATGAAGCCATTCAACGATCTATGGAAGCATTCGGATCCAAACATCCAGAAATCGCCCGACAAGAACTCATGAAGCTTACATGTACATCAAAACACGTCTGGAAACCACGACAACGTGATCGTAAAGCAAAGAATACCCCACCAGATCGAGAATATTTATAAATGTAACGCATTTTATTTTATGATTTTTTTTTTGAATAATTTTCTCTTGTTGTAGAAGTTCGAATAAAATTAAACGAGGATATGAAATCTGGAGAGATAAATGTTATATATTCCTTTGTTTATTTTTTTCTCAAATGGAAATTTCATGTTATTGGGCTTAGTCGTATCGTTTCTTCTTTATTAATGAACCCAAAAGATCACTCAGCGGCAGAGTTGGCTCATTTGATGCAGGCGGCAAATGATGATGTGACTGACTACCACTAGGCACCGGTTGATGTCTTAAATTTCGATGATGCGGGAATGTTGGCATCAAATTTGGATCACAAGCTACGCAAAAAAAAAAACATTGAACGAAATGAGTAATATTTTTAAGATGAAATCAGTTATTCTGAAGGGTTTGGAATGAAATGGATAAGTCGTTAACACATACGCAATGGCATTTCCCTGAAGTATGTGCTCTCCAGGCATTCTTCGGCACTGGCTCGTTTCTTTGGATCGTACATAAACAAAAAGTTAAGTAGCCGCAAACCGGCACTTGACAACCACGAGAATTTTTGCTTGATATTATTGTACGGCTGTTGTTTCAGGGTGAAACTTTTCATAGCTGGCATCGACGACAATTCGGGCCATATCGAAGACGATGGCGTACCTGGAAGAAAATATTTTGGTAAAAATAATTTTGAAAAAAAAATTTCAAAGCAAAAAACTGAAGAAAAATTTGGTTCAATCATTTGTTCTCGTGCTTACCCAGTAAATCGATAATCATTTCAATCTGTTGAATTTCGGTTTTGCCCGGTAACATTGGTTTATGCATTAAAAGTTCGCCCAAAATGCATCCCGCTGCCCACATATCGATGGCTTTCGTATGAACCGTGGTGCCAAACAGCAGTTCGGGTGCACGATACCATAGTGTCACCACGTTGGGTGTCATTTTTGTTTCGGAATTACTGTAGAGTCGTGCCAAACCGAAGTCGGCAATTTTGATGCATCCGTTGTCGGTCAGCAATAAATTCGATACTTTTAAATCACGATGAATAATAAAATGGCTATGCAAATACTTTAATCCATTCAGCACTTGTAGAATAATGCATTTGGATTGTGCTTCGGAAAATGGTTGTGTCATGTTGTCAAGCAGAGAGGCCAAGTCTTGTTCACAATATTCCATGGATATAAAAATGCTGTCAAGACTTTTGCCAACGACAACTTCATTCAATTTGACGATATTGCGATGGCTGCACGATTTTAGAATTTGAATTTCACGCAATCCACTGATTGGAAGGCCATCCTTTTCCTGTTGCATTCGAACACGTTTCAATGCAACAATTTCACCCGTTCGTGAATCACGTGCTCGGTCTGAAAGTGTTGTACGAGAGGAAAAAAATGAATTTTATGTGTTTATTGTTCATTGAAGAACCAATGTAAGTCAATATAAACGGAAATAATTTCACATTTTTAAATTAAAAATACTCACATACAACACCATAGGTTCCTTCGCCAATGCGATTGAGTTTTTCAAATTCTGTGACCAATCGACATCGTCCGAGCTGTGTGACGAAGAAAAGTAAGCAGAGAGTTCAATTAAGTTTGGTCTGAAAGATTGGCATAAAAAGTGTTCAAACCGTATCCTCCTCGCGGATTTCGATGGGTCGTCCAGTTCGTAATGACCGAAGCACACCTTTTCTCGTGACCGGTGCTTGTGGATCATACGATGGCACTGCTTTTTTCTGGTCCTCATCCACAATATTTATGTTAACTGTAATGAATAAAAGCATGCATCGTATGAGAATGAGCTGATTTATTATTTAAATGAGTTTTAATGCAATCATTCGGGAAACATTCTGATTAAATTACCCAAGACCATGTTGTCCGCTTGATTTTTGTTTGCAGTTCACTTGAAACGGCAGTCAAAATGAAAACAGAATTTTTGCTTTGAAATCGAATGTAATGAGTGTGTTTATGTGACAGCACACCAACAGCAGACATCTCTTGAATGTTTCATTCTACTCACCGACAGGCATGAACATAGCCGCAAGTGAATATGTCAAACTCAATTTACGCGCAAATTTGTATCACTCGTCTAAATGTGTCTGTTTTTTGTTGTATTTCACCATTTGAATAAATCCGTACCGCTGTGATTAAAAGTGGCATTGAAATGGATGAAAAACAAAGTGAATCTTCGGACGCTGAGTGTCCAATTTGCGGAAAGTATTTTGCAACCGATGCAATTGAGGTGCATGTAAATCGGTGTATATTTTTGAACAGTGCCAGTAGCAGTAGCACCACCAGCAGTAGCACAGAAACAACAAAGGACAATAACAAACGTACTTTCAGTATTTTCAATGGGTACAAAGCAAGTCCATTGACATCACCGCCGGGAAATGCAAAGAAGAAGACAAAAAACATCAATGACAAAAACAATGCTACACCCGAACCACTTGCATCGCCGTCAACCAGTTCAAAAACATTTCAAGCATCATCATCCACAACAACAACAACGCCAAAGTCATCATTTGACACAGCGAAACAGACAAATGTCGCGACGAAACAAAGCATTCCACTTGCTGAACAAATGAGACCAGAAACGATAGATGATTATGTTGGCCAAAGCCACATAATGGATAAAAATGCCGTTTTACGCCGAATTTTGGACAAAAATGAAACACCAAGTATGATATTGTGGGGGCCACCGGGTGTCGGTAAAACGACACTCGCTCATGTCATCGCCAATCGATGCAAACAAACACAAAACATTCGATTTGTTAAAACATCAGCAACAATGGCCGGGGTGAATGACATTAAACAAGCGGTTGCCGTAGCCAAGAATGAACAGAAATTCGGTCGCAAGACAATACTATTTATGGACGAAATTCATCGATTCAACAAATTGCAACAGGTATGGCACACACATGCATATCGTTTTTGCAATGTATTGAAATTATCTTGCGGAAAAAAGTAATGAGAAAACTATTGCGATTTCTTTTCCAGGACATTTTCTTGCCACACGTTGAAAGCGGAGCTATTACATTGATTGGGGCCACCACAGAAAATCCATCGTTCAGTTTGAATTCGGCATTGCTCAGTCGATGTCGTGTTATTGTACTCGAGAAATTGAGCACAGACAATATATTCGACATTCTGAAGCGCTCGCTGAAAGTGTATGAAGCCGTTATTTTGAGTACAACAGACGAGTATCCATCGTTTAAGGAACTCGGATTCACTCCAAAGTAAGCGTAAATTTTGATTGTTTATACTGGCCGGATTTGTTCACATGTTTTCGAATTTTTTTTTCTTCTTCTTTCCTTTTCAATTTCCCTTTTTGACTCATTCGAATGGATAATTCGTTGTCAGATCCTATTTTGCAATCATTTTAGTTATTCTTTTTAGAACGATTCAATTATTTTGGCTTCATTTCCAGAGTCGGTGTCGAAGAATCATCCATAAAATGGTTGGCTGAAATATGCGATGGCGATGCTCGGATCGCGTTGAACAGTTTACAATTGGCCATGGAATCGCTACAGGAAAACAATAATGGAGACACAAAGTTCAATTTGAAATTCATGCCGCTGAGCTCAATCAAGGATGGCATTAAAGTAAAGACAACATTTTTTTTCCATTGATATCCATTTTCATTTTCTCTCTAATTTCCAAAATTCCAGCGCTCACATATGCTGTATGACAGACGAGGCGATGCACATTATGATATGATATCAGCGCTTCACAAGTCGATTCGTGCCTCTGACGATAATGCCACCTTGTATTGGTGTACGCGAATGATGCTCGGAGGTGAAGATCCAAGATTTATTGTTCGTCGGCTTGTTCGGGCGGCCAGTGAGGATATCGGTAACTTGTTGCATGGCATTTAATTTTAAGAATTTTCATTAATCAATTGATTCGTTTTAGGATTGGCAGATCCACAAGCCGTGACCGTTGCACTGTCAGCTTTGGATGCTGTTCAATTGATTGGAATGCCCGAGGCCGATGTCATAATCGCACAAGCCGCCGTTTATTTGGCACGAGCTCCAAAGAGTCGAGAGGTAATATGTAGAATCGAAAATTTGGCTCTTTTCCATCAGATGGAATTCATCTCGAAAACTGAAAATGGATTAACTTTTTCTTATGAATTTTCTTCTTCACTAAAAACTTCGCTTTCTATCAAAATATTAATTATTTAAAGTAAATAATTTATTTTTAAATCTGTTCTCTCTCATTTCTAGATGGACGATGCAGTGGCTGCCTGTAAACGAGACATAAAAGATTGCAAAGGTCCACAGCCGGCAGTGCCATTGCATTTGCGAAATGCTCCGACGAAACTGATGAAGGATCTAAACTATGGCAAAGGTTACAATATGGCCCACAAAGATGAGTCCGGCCTTCAATACATGCCAGAAGGAATGGAGGACCGTTACTATTTTGAATGAAAAAATTATTACTTATGTTGTTTCCAGTTGATTATTTTGTGATTTAAGAACAAACGTTTATGTTAGTCTTTAAAAATATAAATTTAGATTTTGATGTTCCGTAAAATTTCGTTTCGTAAAGCTGTTGACCACTGAAAAGTGGAAATCGAGTAATGAATTTGATGAATAAAATCACCATTGTGATGAAAGAAGGAAAATGTTGGATGATAAAAAGTCAATTCGTTGCTGTTTATGGTGGTCTGTGCCTGTTGAGAGTTTGAGTGGATATTTTGTTCAGTTGCGACGAACCAATATCTGCTGCACTCTGATTTTGCTTTCAATTTATAAGTAATGAATAGTAAAATCGCCTAAAAATAGTACACCATTCTATTCTAAATCTATTATCGTTCAATTTATACCGATGCATGCAAAAAATGCCATTGGAGTAATGATTTCCGCGGCGGTAAATTCTACTCATATGAAATAATCAAAATAAATGAGTAGATTTGTTAACGTTGAAGATGCTCACATTCTACACACACTCGCCCATACACTTGAACGGCATGCAATACATAGGCATCTGGATTGTGTACCAACACACAGCGCCTCTTGACATATTGTCCACTCAGAAGTAAAATATAGCAACAGAAACGGCAGCGGCATTTGGCAGATGAGAAATAGTATACTTGTCATCACAAACTATATTGAAAGGTCAATTGAGCGAGCAATCAAACAACGAAATTTAATTCAATCGCAATTTATTTTTGGTGAAAATATCGACAAGAAGGTGAAGATAAAATGTCGCAGGTAAATTTTGATTGTTTAAATTCGTAGCATCGTTTGACGTTTATAAATTGCATTCGTTTGATTAGGTACACGAATTCAGTGTTGAGATGACATGCAGTGGCTGTTCGGGAGCAGTAGAAAAGGTGCTGGGAAAATTGGGCGGTAAGAGTATATTTTTTGTGTGTAAAAATTTTCCATACACGTTTCATGTCGATTGCTCACGGAATTTCTTTTCACCTTTCTTATCTTATCTGTCATCGGCGGCGATGTTACGATTGATAAGATTTTAAAGCCATCATTGGAAATTCAATCGAATTGAAAATCTGTAGAATTTCACATGAATAACAGCAACAGACATAGAAACCAATTGTTTCAATTATGAACTCGTGATTCGCTTTTTCCCCTCTACAGATAAGGTGCAAAATGTTCGAATTGATTTGGATAATAAGAAAGTGTTCGTGACATCGGCCGAACTGAATGCCGACCAACTATTGGAAGTCATCAAGAAGACCGGAAAAACCACCAACTACATTGGACTAGCCAATTGAATGTTTATATGCAAATTAAGAATTTGTGATTCAACGAAACATGATGAAATGACAATGCAGACAAACTAACGCAGTTTGTCCAGCGTTTCCATTAAATACCCAATTATTTACATTATTCGAAGAACAGAAATGGTTTTAAACATCGTTTTAATATATATTTTTGAATAAAATTCAATAAGAATTCCAATGAATGTCTTTTTTTTTGTATTAAATCGATCACATTCGGAGACAGACTTCGAACTAAATTTCACTTTCAGTTTAATTCACGCCTCTACTGATCTTCGCTCATTTGAACATACACAACAGACTTTGCGACAAATTGGTTCAGATTTAGCGCATCGTGATCAATGAAAGTTATTCAAATTGATTCGGTGGAAAAAAAATGTGACAATTACCCGTTTTAATAGAGGCAAAGAAAAATGAAAATGAAACGACTTTTAACGATTGACGTGCATTTTGTGCATGCAGTTAATGAATTACGCATGAATTGTTCACGGGCTCAACTTGCCGGAGAGATTAGCTTAGAATTTCGCTTTCTTTATGGCACAATTTTGGACTTGTGTTTCGTTCGTTCGTAAATTCACACCATGATATGATCGTGACGAAAGTAAACAACAAGATCAACAGACTGTTTTTTCTCTCTCTCTCTCTCTCTGCCTCAAAATGTTGAACGTGTGAGAATTGTTTGCCTGGACCAGCCGCTGCTGATTAGGTTGCTATTGATCTCTATTGGTGAACGTATATAGTGACGATTCTTCTTCATCTGCCGTTTTTTCTCTCTCTCTCTCTCTCTCTCTCTCTCTCTCTCTCTCTCTCTCTCTCTTCTCTTCGACAAGTTTGGCGAATCGAGCTGCAAGCGCAACTCTTGGCCGTCAGTGTTGTGTGGATGGATGGAAGAAAACCGCAACATTATCGACGCTTTTCAAATTCGATGTGCTCGTGATGAAAAGTAATTAGAGCTTTAATTTGAAGATTATCGCGAGAACAGATTTAATATAAAAATGTTTGCCATCACCGACAGACAGTCAGTACATATCCGATTATCTTATTAAGCGCACACACAACATGGGAATATTTTAATCTAGGGTGATCCTTTACTGTGTTTTCAAAGTATTTTTTTATTTTTTATTCGAACTATCTTTTTCCTTGTTTCACCACAAGTGAAGTAACAGTGCATTTTCTTTGAAAAAACGTTCGTGTTCTTTTTTTTCACGAAACGGTGACCACAGACTGGAAACAATACAAACATTTCATTGAAAAGTGAATTGAAATCAATATCAAACAATTTAAGCAACGAAAATATCGCTTCAAAATGATTCGATTTACACTCATTATTGTTGGCATCGTTAGCATTTTGAATGTGACATTGGCTGCAAACGAAAATATTACAGTCGAACAAATCTACGATATGGCATCGAATATCCTGAATGCAACCGATAAATGGCAAGAAGATCTAAAGAATTATTCGGTTGAAGGACGCAGTTCGAAATTCTTCCCATTCGGATTGTTACCATTTCATGCGTTGTGTAAGTAAATTTGGTTGTGATTCAATTATTACAGAAATATAAACAAAAAAAAAGTCCAAGAAAATCGACCAAAAATTTGGTATTGGAATTGAATTATTCGATTTTTTCGCAAAAAATTGCACTTTTCAAAGAAAAAGTAAATTCCTTTTCAATGCAATTAGGTTTTGAAAAGTAATTGTTTTTCGATAACATTAATTTTGGAGCAAATTTTAAACAAAAAGTCAATTTTGTTTCTAAAAAATGAAAAAATGATTTTGTAAAATAACAAGGGAAAAAATCATAATTTACAACAAAAAAAACTCATCGAATTGAAACATTAGCAAATATACGGTGAGCTAATCAAAGCAAAGCAAAATGGTTCAACGCCGTTGAGGTTTATTTTGAAGCAACAACAGAAAAAATGCTCCGTACAAATTTAACAGTGTAGCGAGACGGAGAGAGAGAGAGAGAGTCACTTGTGCATAGTGTATATCGACTGTGTACGTACGAACGTCGGTTCAGCAAAGTGAAACGGAGTGAATGCGTGTGTTACTCATACTTGTAACGATTGGAACTATGAAGTAAACATGTCCCGATTAGCCGTGATCGTCTAGTGGTTAGGACCCTACGTTGTGGCCGTAGTAACCGGAGTTCGAATCTTCGTCACGGCAGTGTTGACTCACTGTCACGGATGGGACTTTTTTTTTATCATTTATTCCGAATGCCATGTTACTTTTTATAAAAAATATTTCAATTTCATCGATAAATTCGCCGAAAAAATATTTTTTTCAATATTTATTTTTCCGAATATTAGTTGAATCGCCATGAGTATGTTATTCATTGAAAGCAACGTAAAAAAGTATGGGAGATATGTTCGTGCATGTGCTCGACAAGTGAAAGATTAAGGTCGTTGTAATTTTAATGTATTTTATTTCATTAGTTCACCATCTCACGCACTCTCTTCTTGATCTGGTTTTTCGTTTGGTGGATTAATGGTCTCAAACTTGCTCAAAATGTTACATTCACTTTGGCAAATATATTTTGCTTCAACGTGTTTCCTCTCTTCATTCGTCTTACTCTGAATTTTACAACATTGTTAATCAGTTGCTGCGAATGCAATATATACAAGCGAATGCTCTGCTTAGTTTCAAACATAAAACTCGGAAACTAAGCTTCATGCATGACATTCGATTTAAGAATATTTTATTTTCCATTTTGATTCTTCTCAAAATTATTTCAACGTTTACAAAACACTCAAACTCAATCGCTATCAATCTTTGTATAGATACACACATGCTTGAGCATCGCAGTTAGTCCAATGCTCAATAGCACGTGTTTGACAAGAAACGACAGAGAGACGAAAATATTTAATGCTAAAAATCGATTTAGTTTCACTTTTTAATGTTTGCACATTGGAAATTGTCAACTTTTTTTGGTTTCTGCTCTGTTTACAAAATCTATCGATGTAAATATAAAGGCAAGTTTGCTTCGTGGAATTACGCTAATTGACAAATGACGAACTGCACGCAGTTTTTCATGTGACAATTCTATTTAAACGAATAGAAAACGGTCCGAAGAAAGTCTTTTCAATGCTATCTATAGCAAATTGACACCTTTCTATTCTGTGTGGCTCAGTAAATATTTTCATTTGCTATATTCCGTTCAAAATGCAGTTGTTCCATTGATTCTTTTAATCGAGTCTTTCACATTGCCATTTTTTTTTTAAGCATTTTTCTGGGGAAAAAATTTTTTTTCTTAGAAAAAATGTGAAAATTAGTCATTTAATTGATAACAATAAATAAAAGATGGCAAAAAAGTGTGAAAAAAAAAGTCCCATCCGTGACAGTGAGTCAACACTGCCGTGACGAAGATTCGAACTCCGGTTACTACGGCCACAACGTAGGGTCCTAACCACTAGACGATCACGGCTATTCGGGACATACATCACTTGTCGGCTGAGTTGATTCGCTTTATTTTACACGTGTTCAGTTTTGCTTTGAGCAATTTCGACTTTCACTCAACCAATTTTGTAAGCTGTAAAATGAATGTTGGTGTTGTTACTGCTGCTACTGTCGTCGTTGATGCCGCTGCCACGAATGGCTAACCATGCTTATTGAACATTTACAACCGAATCGCTTTTGCAATGCAATTTTGTTCAGAAGCGTTTTTTTTGCACATGAAATATGCTTCTTTTATGCGTCCAAAGTTTTTTTTTTTCTTCTGAACAATAATTTCATCAACATTTATTTTAATCATTTTCAGTTTCAACTCATTCACATGAAGTTAAATCATTTTGTTTTAGACTAATTTTCTGCAAAAATTCAATTTTTTTTCTAATCCAAAATTCAACACGATGAATAAACTGTCTATTTGACTTGATTTCAGGGGGATTTGGTGGTTTGCATGCATTGGCTATTTTGTTTGCCATCAAATTTAAAATCATAATTGTCGCTTCGATTGTTGCCTTTGGTGTGTATTACTATACAAAATTTGTGGCAGCCAAAAAGTGCCATGGTGATCATTACCGCGAAGGTGCAATCCATCCAATTCATGATACCACGTGAGTAGTTTGTTTTATTCAAAGAATCGAAATGTCTGAATTTGAACATGTTCATTTTTTTTCTCATGAAAATAAAACTAGATATGGTGGTTCAACGTTTTTTAGCAGTCCAATCACATCGTACTCAAGCCCAAATGATATTTTGAGCCACATCTCTTACGATCCATACAGCGGATATCATGACTCAACCATTCATTCGGATATTCCATCGTATGCATACGACCATCACCACGAACATGATTTCCATGACCATCATCACGACGAGAATCACTCGCATGATTTTGATCACTTTGGCCACTTCCAAGATCAATCACCACAGGGCGTTTCCTCTCCGGGAAGCGATGCCCCACCATCGCCGTCATCATCGGCATCGCCCAGTGATTCACCGGCAATGTCACCCACTTACCGTCGCGTTGGAAAACATCGCCGAAGACGCGCTGTTAAACCACAAGTCGAGTAAATTTTCCACACAATTTTTAATCTTACAAATAGAATTGACGCAATGTTTCCGTATATTTCAGCTTCATTGACATTGGAGAATTGGCATTCCGATTTCTAGGTGTTGATACCGATGGCTGCCGAAAGCGTTTTGTCTGTGAACTCGATTTCCGTGCTCAAACCAACCCAATCACACGACTGGCATTTTCATTCATCGGGTAGAGATGACGATGGAATTGATTCTTCTTTTTTTCTTTCAAAATTTCATGATTTTTGTTCTAGATTTTTTTTCCTCTTGAAAGTCATTTTTAGATATATTTTTTTAAATTCGGCTATTGATTGATTTGATTTTCTTCGAATATAATATTCATTTTTATTTGATTTCCTTTTGTTTTTCTTTTCGATTATTTCACCATTCCAGGCGTAATTTCTTCGAACGCTATCGTGTATTGGATGAGAATGTTGCGAAGCCACAAAAGTTTTCCGAATGCGCCAAAGTGTTCAACGATTGCGAAGATGCTGAAAAATACAATGAAGCAGAAGATGACGACAGCGACGATGATAATGTGGAAAAAAATGAAGAGAAAGTGGAAGAAAGCACTCAAAATGAAGAAAGCACTGAAAAATCCGACGCATCCATCGGCCAAGGAGAGAACGTTGAACAAGAACGTGCTGGTGATTCACAGGATGAACAGCCAAAAGAATCCAATAGCATAAACATCATTCGTCGCAAGCGAACACACATACCAATCCGTAATTTCATCGTGAATCGACGAATTGCTATGCAAAAATCCGGTTAATTTTAACTCATAATATTTATTTGTATCGAATTTATTTATTTTATTTATTTATTGCATTTGAATTGTCTAGATCAAGGTAATTTTTACTTAATTATTTGCTTAAGGATTTTCTATGTAAAATATATGTCTCGGGTTTAATTATTGCAAAGAAGAAAAAAAATACAAACAAAAATGCTGTCTAATAAATCGAATTTGGTGATTAAATGGTTCACCAAAAAAAAAAGACACATCACTGATTTTATTACTTTAATATTCGGAAAATATTCGATAGAGAAAACAGCTGAAATGGCGGGAAAAAAACATATTGGCATTTTTTGTTTGAAATTGACACACATTTTTCAGTTTGTAGGCTCATCGATTTGAAATCACTCTACTGAAAAATTCAAAGTTGGTCTAAATAGGTGAGAACTGAATATAACTTGACTGTTATGACTTTTTTCTGATATATTATTTTCTATTAAATAGAATTGATAGAATTCAGTGTTGAAATTGTACGCAGCCTTTTGACCTGAGTATAATTAAATAAAAGCATCGTTCGCAAGCGAAAAATCTCAATAGAATTTTACTTATCTCAATTTTATCCAATAAAAGTTAAGTGGTTTTCCTCGATCTAAATTCAATTTTGAGATCAAATCAATTTTTGACCGAAAATGATTGATACTCAACTATGCTAAGACATGCAAAATATAGAAAACACCGAAATGTGAATTAATTCCATCACCAAAATCGACTCATTACAAAATTCAAATCCTGTTTTTTTTTTTTTCTCTCCATATTTTAATCCACTAGGAAATAATTTATTGTTCATATAACAGACTCAATCCATTTACATCGTTCATTTACAAATAAATTAATTCCGTTTGAATAGCACGCAAGATGTGGCGTGCGGCTGATGCCACCTTGGTATTAAATCTTAAAAAGCTAAATTTATGGTACCACTGCACATGAAGTTTCTTGAGGAATTGGAAATAACAAAAAAAAAATAATAATAATAATCATCCTGAAATTTTACATTCGGTTTTAAAACCCAAGAAAAAATTTACACACTAATTGTTTCGCATTTCGACTCGAAAAAAAAAAATTAAAAACACCGCATCGTTTTATCTTATTAATGAATCTTGTTCGTCCGGTTTGATCTACGTTTTACGAACGTTCTTCTTTTTGGTAGCGTTTATACTTTGCGCAAGTTTTTCAATTTCGCTGTCATTGTATGTGGCATCAAAGCGATTGTCTTTTCTCTTTGGTGATGATGCCTGATTGATGGCCGTTTGCGCGACAACGTTGATTTTATTCCATAGGAATGAGAAGAATTCCACGGCCAGCTCCTGTTTGAAAAATGCAATTACAACTAAACCGAGTAAGATTAGTGCGGAAAATGAATTTTCATTCAGTTCATTTTCGTTGAGTCGAATTTCGGGTGTAAAATCTAAATCGACATAGATTGTACTACGATTTGCCTCAAAATGTTCAATGGGCAGGGTGAATTTGAAATTTTTCTCCGACAATGTTGTGGTGAGTTCGACCACATAGGATTTACCTAAGGGGAGAATCAGAAAGAAGAAATGAATCAAAATTGCTTGATCAAACACTGCTTATATACCATAATATCAAATATGAAAATGAAAAAAAATAGGATTTACCATCGAATGGAATGCGTGGGAAAAAGACCAATGCGCCCGGATTGACACGGCTCTTGACGGAGATCGGTGTTTCAACGCGTTGCGAATAGAGCGGACTGTCGGCGTTGCCCTTTTTGTATAGTTGCACACGCAACGATTTGTAATATTCATTGTTTGATGCGGTCACTCTGGCAATCACATCAATGTAATTCAATGGGCTAATGGCGATAATGTTAATGTTGTGAGTGTCTTGTTTGTCAACGGTAATTTGTCGAGCGATTGGCACGGTGCGATCGACAACGGTTGCCGAATTTTCACTGTTCGATCGTACACGAATGCTGTATTCGCAGCCGGGTTGAAGTCCACGAATACGATATTGTCCATTTGGTTCAGTAGATGATTCTTCTTGATGTTGGCCGCAACGTTCCTCTGCACGAGCTTCAACGACAACGTCCGCAAATGGTTCGCCATTTAATGAGTTCACCGATCCAAATACGGAGAATGCAACCCGTTTGCCATTGAGTTCGACACGTACCGTTTCGCCATCTTTAACATCAATGATTTTCGATGATGGCTCAAAACGGTATTCCTTCATCATTGGACGCAAATAATATTGACTGGGTGACAGTGAATGAAAATTGATTGTGCCATCTTCACCGGTTACCAAATTCTTACGATAACTTTCCGCACCCGACAATGATAACAAAACACCAGACAATTTATTGCCAAGCTCATCCTTTACCGTTGCAATTACTTCGCACAATTTATGCGCCTTGAATTCGCCACGTTCACTGTCAAATTCGGAAAAGATGTACGATTCTTTGTATGCGGACAAGCTAACCGCCAAGTCTCCATTCAATGGACCGAATTTGAATTGACCATTCGATGATGTAAGAACTTCGATTGGTGAGAGATCTGGGCTGTCACTGAATGTTAGCGTGATTTTCACATCACCAATTGGCGGTGTGACTTTTCCATTAATTATCAATCCCTTTGCAGCGGTGAATGTGAAGGCATTCTAAATGAACATTGAAAAAAATTGTTAATCAAAGAATGAAAATAAATTTGAATGGAATTGAAATGATGAACATCAAAGAAAACTTCAGTTCAAACTTCAAAGAGCAAAAACTAAAAAAAAATTACATTCAAACCTTTTCTTCTGATTCTGAAAGTTTCTTTTTCTGATGTTCAATAGATACTTTTGAATGCGATGAAGCAATAGTTTACAAACAAAATTGTGTATAATAGAATACTTAAGTCTTCTTCGACATTAATTTCGAATGAGCATTCATTTCATGCTTGAATGAATAATCAAGTAAAAAGAATCATTAATTATTAATTGTCAAAATCCTAACCTCAATACAGTCGCTTGCACCATAAATTTCCTTCGATTGTGGTGTGAATAGGATGGTATCACTTTGTGGGGTGAGTGTCAATTTGGCCGATGGTTCTAAATCGAAATCATATCGATATGCAAATTTGCCGTTGACTTTAGTCGTTTCTTCCGTGAATGAAATGACTTTCTTCTCGCCGATCTCCGATTCGACGAGTACTTTAAAAGCCGATTTGATATCGGACAAAATGCGAACACCGTTACGATGCTTGACGGCATTGACGGCAACCGGTTTTTCTTCGCCCGTTTTAAATGATTTTGGTGTCGTTGAATCGTAGCTGTGACAACCTGAAAATGATAAATCATAATGACCGTATTTATCCACGCAGAACGAATTGATGCCCGGTGCCAAGAAGATTTCTTTCGAAGCCGATTCTTCAGGTTTTGTTGATCGGAACACATAGGCCATCTGAGATGAGTAAAAGAGGTTATAGCTTAGAATATGACATTGGTAAAAATATTTATGATTTTTTAAAATCCAATTTCGAAAATAGAGCCAATTAGAACTGATTTTTCCAGCCTGACTGTCCACCTGATCCAATTTCACTTACTTTAGTGTTATGTGAGCTCGATACCGATACCAAGTATCCGGTGTGAACGAAAGTCGGCACAATTTCGGTGGCACTCTTAACGATCAATGTAAGAGTGTTACTTTCCCAGCAGAGTAAGTTGGTTGGAACGGACACTTCATATGTTCCCGGTAAAACTTCTGAGAAACTGTATTTTCCATTTGTCAACGAAGCAGTAATGACTTGTCCGTTACGATTGCCATCGGCATCGAGTGGATTCAGCGAAATGATTGATGCACGACACTGAGCAGTTCCATCGCCATCAGACAGGCACTTAACATCGCCGGTAACCGTTGCACGTAGTTGTGAGAATGTGATGCCGGACAGTGGTGATGTGTTTACTTCGATGTTTTGATGTTTCGGGAAGAATTGAATGCCCGATGCCAAATCTTCTGAGCTGGTTAGAATTTGAATTGAATATTTACCGGGCGGTAAGAATGTACACCATTCACCCGTACCCTTTTGGCTTGTGGCTTGAGTGTGGAATGTCGATGCATGTTTTGTGATGGCAATTGTGTACGAATGTTGTGACAACACCCATCCACACACTTTGAATGCTGACACAACGATGTCAGGTATTGATGGGCTGGCAATTGAAATTTTCACACTTCGTTCTTCGAACTGAACATTTTCAGCTTCAGCCGTAATTCTGTATGTGTCAGCCTTGATATTTTTCAATGTGTATGTTCCGTCAGTGTGTGTTGTGGTTGCTTTTTCCCCATTCAAAATCACCTTTGCATTGGCAACACCAAAACCATTTCCGGCGGAGAGTACACGGCCGAACACACTGAAGCCAGTGATTTCAAAACTTTGTTTCAATTCAACCGCATCATTCGTCACCTCGAACTCAATGTATTCGGGCCGAATGTGGAATTGAATATTTTTACTCTGGACAGATGGTTGCACAGAATACTTTCCTGGAGCAATCGATTGGAAATTAAATCGGCCACTTGCCGATGGTGTTGCACTACAGAAAGGTTTTGATTCATATTCAGCATTGGCCGATGCAACTTGTGAAAGGGTCGTCGATTTACATTTCGATGCTTGACGTTGCTATTTTGGAAACGAATCGAGAGTTTTATTAGGACATTTTTTATTTGAGAAATAGATTATTTACAGCGAAAAAAAATGATTGAATATGCCTTAAATCGGCTACAGCAAGTGCAGCTTATTGAACGAAAAAAAAAATAAGAAAAATATAAGGAACAAGATTCTATTTTGGGAAATGATGGCACAAAACAAATAAATTTTCAATGAAAATTATTTCATTATTTCCACGGATTTCCGTTAGTTAGAAATGTTCCTTTCTAATTTGTATTCAAGAATTGAAAAGATTTTAATAAATGAACATTCGATTAGTTTTGGTTTAAACTTACGTTTTTGCGATTGAACAGAACGAATTCAACGTTTTGAAGGGCTTGGCCGTCGCTAGAGATCTGACCAGATACATCGAATCCAGACACGACAAATGCATTACTTGGCAGCTCAGTGTTTCCAGTGGTGACCGTGACGACATATTCTGACTTTTCGAAATACCAGCTACAATTTCCCAAAAAAAAAACATTTAATATTTAGATCATTCTTCCGCCTGCTGTTGCTTGGCTATGATTTCAAATTTCACATGCAAAGACCAGTGGCAAAATTTGCCAGTTCTAAAAGTTGTAACTTACTTTTTGTGGCTAACTTTAATGGTATATTGACCGGGAATGACGGGTGTGAAATAGAATACACCATTAATATCGGACACGGTTTTGCGAGTGTCACTTCCACTGGATGCTTGAAGTTCAACGCTGACGTCCTTGATATTGCCAGTGACACCGACAATTTTACCGGTGATACCGAAACCTTTGAACACAAAATTTACATCTTTTCCTTGGCTACACATGTCTGTTTTCCCATCAAAGTTGATTTCGAATTGCTGTGGCTCAAAACTCCAGCCGGGCGGTGGTGAGATTTTCAATACATATTCGCCCTTATCGTAAACCGGCAAAAAATAATATCCATTCGATGGTGAACAATCGGTTTTATCTTTTAAACTGCCCTGTTTGGTCAATCTGAAACACACACATAAAAATAAGGTAATGCGTTTGGGTCATGTGGCAAGAAAAAAATCAATTCTCAAAAAAAAAGAACTAATTGACCATCGATGGTCAAATAAATGTATGAAATCTAATTAGTTCAGAATTTACACGTATTACATTTGGTGTGTGTGTATGTGTGACACCGAAAGACACTTTGCACAAAAAACTTCTTTCTTCTCACTTTACACCGACGAATAAAACAATCAAATTTCGCATTGAAAATCGTAAAATTTTACTTACAATTCCACTTCAACTTTCGAAAAATCAATGTCCGCATGACTTTTTACAAATCCACCGCATCCCAAAATATCATCGGCCCGGGTAAGTAGAAAATTGAATGCAATTAACACGACTGCAGTCGTATATGAATGAAACCTCGTCATTATTTTTATTCTCTATTTTCGGTTAATGCATTTATGATTTAAATGAATTGGATAAGAAAGAAAACTGGATGCAAACTGAATGATCACACAAAAAAAACCATCGAATTGCGATAAAAATGAATTGGGCTATGCCAATAGCCGCGAATTGTAATGAGAAAACGATGTGTTTTAAGCATGTATCGGATAATGTTGATTAGGGTTCATTAATGTGACAGGTAGCACATGACAGCTGACGTAGTCGCCATCGCCTTGTCATTGGCGCTGATGTTGCAGTTTCTTCGAATGGCTTTTTCGTGTCATTGAATCAAGCAAAAAGCTCATCGTTGCGCCATCTATTCAGAATAATTTGCAAACGACTGGTTTTTCTTCTTCTTCTTCAATCAGATGTCCTGATAAAATAGTTTGCTTTTGTAAAGAAAAGAATTCCACGAGATTTCTGAATTTATGCGTTCGAATCACGAATAGATTTTGTTTTCTTGATTTTAAACCTGGATTAGAGGGTGTTCGTCGAAGGAAATAATAATATTGTACACAATTTCGCTCTAACGTATGATTAATGTGGTTATGACTCGAAGTTGATTTGCGTTCGCAGGAACTAATTCATAATCAGAGGTGATGGAACCCACATTTTACTTATTTCCAAACCCTTCCCGTTCAAAATCGACTTCATTTCGTGGAATCGTAGTCGCAGGGCGAATACGGGCGAACGCACGAAAAATATATGTACACAAACACACGTACAAGTGAAAATGCGGCCAAACACTCCATTTTCCTATAAATAATGAAAACTACCGTGGAAAGTGGGATTGCATTAAAAATGAAATAGGCCTAATTGGAAAATTGTTACAAATGTTTTTCAATTCATTTCATTATAATTTATGCATTCTATCATCACTAATCACAGAGTCGTGCGCTTGCTTAAATAACACATACACACGTCCGAGGCCATTAAGCTTCGAAGTACAAACGAAAAATTTATGTTTTTGAATTCATTTTTGTTATTGTTGTTGCCTTACGATATTTATTCGTTTTTTTTCTTCTTCTTCATCATCTTTCATCCATTCCTAGAAGCGCATGCATATACAAAATCATTTAAAAATTGTTTCCATATTTTCTTGCATTGCTTCGAATGCTCTAAATTTGGATGAGTGTGAGTGTGTGTGTGTATTTTTGCTTGTTTCTTTAAATCGGTTCTACGCTTGGGCTTTTCTATCAGTGTGATGGTTGGGGTTGTGTTCACCCAGCTCTTATGATTAATAGTTAAATCACACGGATTTTTGCAATTTGCATGGCGTGAAATGATGTGCCATAATCGCATTTTGCGAGGCAGAAATTACCGTTTAGCCTCATAGATATTGGAGAATCAGACGGCAGCATAATACGAATAACTGGCAAACGCCAACTTAAGCAAGTCCATAAAACTCTGTCGGCCGTAGAGGCGCTAGAGTGTGTGCGTGTGCGACAGAGAAATAGAGAGTGAGGGAGAAAGAGAGAGAGACGTGAGCATTTGCTATATGAAGCGCTAACCGTTTATTTAAACGGTTAGCGCTTCATATGCACACACCAGAAATTAAAGAGAGAGAGAGAAATAAACAACAACAACAATATGACTATTGATAAAAATTGGAATTTTTATTATGTATTTAAATTTGATCATATTAAATTAATGACAGCCATGCATACAATGAACAAAATGTACCGGATTCGGTAACACGCGGTATCGTGTCGCATGCACAGGCCCATACAAACCAACCACATTTTTCGGCATAATTCGAATTCGTGCTTGATGGTCGGTGTGCCTCTCTCTTTCTCTCTCTCTCTCTCTTTCCGAGTGCGTTTATGTCGGTGTATGTGCGCGTTTTATTTGGGCTCAACATTTGAAACATGTATTTCAAAGACGAACGATGAATATGATTAGGAAAATTAGGAAATTTATCTTTCTTCCGCATTAAGTCTTTTTTTTTTACTTGACTCACTTTAACACTAATGTGCGCGCTTATGCGAATCGGCCTGTGTGATACACATTGCGAATTTTTTGCCTGATATCAATATTTCTGGCCAAATTTGCTACATACAAGGAGAGAGAACGAAAGAGCGAAATAAATACATTTCGGTGGATTTTTTTCTCTCTTTGGATGAACACAGCATGTGATTATGTAATACAATTTGAATATATTGGGGCTGTAGTGGTGCGATACAACGCGCGAACGAACAATACCCGAACGACAAAGACAGAGAGCCAAGTACATGTATGTGTGTATGGAACGTGGATTCAGTACGCATCGCAAAGACTTGCTCACATTAATAATCGAAAGCGAATACCGAAAAGGAAAAAAAAAACTAGGTCACAGAGGGATAGGATAGCTTAGCTTTAACAGTATAAACAATATGTTCCAAGGAGCTTTCGCACACCAGCGCACACAAAATACACACACACACACACACGCCTCGTGAATACACAAGCACACAACCATTCAGCCACACGCTCACATTGTCAATTGTAGCAAGGAAAAATGAAGCTTTCGTTGTTCAGCGCGGCTGTGCACGAGTGAGAGGTAGAGAAACCTATTTGCAAATGTGATGGTGCCATAAATTCAGTTTTTTTTTTGGTGACAGAGTTCCAAATAAAAGTGAGATGAATTTGAACACACCAATACTGTTCGCATTGAATGTGAAAAAAAACTATTGGAAATTCCTTCGCATGTATCCTCTATTTGGTTGTTGGTGTTTTTGTTTTGTCCTTTCAACTCAAGGATTCCTTTCATCATGAACATTTCAAATAAAAATTCGAATAAAAAAGAACACACACTCACTCACATACACACACACACACACACACACACACACAGCAACAACAACTAAAAAAACAAACATAGAAGTAAAACTCTCTTTCCCTTTGAAGAGACCCAATTCTTCTTTAGCTCGTCATATCACTTCGGGTATTTTTATTCTTCTTCCTTTGCCATGTAACAAAGAAAATATGTATAGGTTTTTTTTATGCGGCCCGAGCGCTTTTTTGTGATTTGTGTTTGGATTTCCCCATTATTATTTGCCGTTATTTGTTTTCTTCGTCGAATCAAATTTATTACTTTTATTACTACTATCATATGTACAGTGTACACTGTACACCCTAGAATATTTTCAGATAAAAAAAACTGTAGAATGCTTTTTATGGGTTTGATAGAATGGCGATGTGGCGTGGCATGCTTTGGCACTACATAGCAACGTGTTTGGCCACCTTATTCCATAATTTAGTTTGTTTTGGCGACAAGGATACCAATTCCATAAACTTTAATTCCGTTTCAATCGCAATCGACAGAATGTGTGTATGTGTGCAGTTACACAGCGGTGGCGACGGACCATTCGCCAATGGTGACAAAAAAGCGAAAAGACACTCTGAAAACATGCCAGTAACCAAATTGAATAATACCATCATTTCAGCCTAACCACAAAGAAAAACCCAACCCAAAATTTGATATCAAAATATGAAAATTAAATTGAAAATGAAAAATATGAAAACGCAGAAGGAAAAAAAAATTGAAAACAAAAAAAACTACATGACAGAGCATAGAATATCGCGTCATCTTTCTCGGAGCAAGTCTCCGTTTGCTTCACGTTTCCTTCGTTTGCCATGAATATTTTATTAATTTTTCGGGAAGCAAGTTGTAAACGCCCTTTTTCTTTACAGGTGCCTGACAATTTCCATTCTTCTCGTCTTCTTTTTCTCATCTGAAGCATTCGACGACGGTTGATTCGACCGCTGTGTGATGTGCTGCCGTTTTTCCCTTTTGAAAGAAAAATGTGTTTGTGTTCTCTTGTTTCGCTTCGTGCAATTTAATGAAAATCATAGCTATTGATGGCAACACAAACTCCCTTCATGTACATTCTTTGCCGAATGATCTTTGGCACATATTTTCCCAATTTTGATGCGTTGTTCTGTTTTTCGCTTCCATCACATCAACCAATCTCTTTCTCTTGTTATCGTCCTTTTCTGCCTCTCTCTCTCTCTCTCTCTCTCTCTCTCTCTCTCTCTCTCTCTCTCGACTCTCCATTTTGGACCTTTAAAAACATTAAACTGGGAAGGAGTGTGAGTGAGTAAACCGAAATACAGTGAGACAGTGAGGAGAAGAGGAAGCGAAAAAAAACGTGTACAAAAGTCCATTGTGAGAATTCAAACAATGGAAAAGTATTCGTTTATGCCATACCAACAGCACAAGACCTTGAGTGTCAAGGTGTGTATTCTTTTTAATATTATTTTTTTCTCTCCTTCGTCTTCTTTTTATTTCGCTGTGATCACAATGTAAATTGAAAATAGATAACTGTGAGCAGCGGCAACAGCAGCAGCAACAGCAATGAAAAAAATCACCATGAAAAATGTTCAAGCTGTAATTGCGACACGAACAGAAACATCACGCGAAAATCGATTGAGGGTCATACATACACATTTAAAAACACCGAGCGCGCAGAGAGTGAGCGTATGCCATTAGAATTTCAAGACGAGATACAAACTATGTGGAACCTCTTAAATTCAATTTGAAGCGTGCCTTGAATTTTATAACACACACACACACACACACACACACACACACAATCCGCTGAGGACTAGGGAGAAAGATCAAATCAAAATATCTCGCAAATGCTTACAAATATGCGACGTATTTGCAAATATGGCAAATATTTTGTGAATATTCACGTTTGATACAAAAACGAATAAATATTGTGCGTATATAATAAACCATACAAATAAAGGGCAAATATAAATATTCTTTCCCCCTAGGCTGAGGATAATGGAAAATTGGAATTTCTTTTCTGGTTTAGATCTCTTGTCGTTTCTGATTTCTTTATTCGTTTCGCAAAGCGATTGCAATTGTGTAAATAAACCTATCGATGGAGATGAAGATGTAGAAAGACAGAGGTGAGAGCAAGAGCGAGAGAGAATGAAATCGCATACATTTTGCTTTTAACATGAACTATTTTACAGTAGGAAAATAAATTGATTTAATTGGAATGGAGATGGGTAAGTAAGTTTGTGGTGCAGCTGATTGAAATTGAGATGCATTTCGTAAACATGTGTTTGTTGGTGCAAAAATTTCCGTAGCATGACTTAGAACTAAACAAACATAGATTGCGATAATGAAAACACAACTTTGAAATAGTAATTTTCGGAATTTCCGATTCAACATTCCAAAAGCTCGTTCATATTATCATTCGAAAATTACATTGCAGATGGATGGAGAGAAATACACAAACAACAACACAACGATTTAGCTGTGTTAATAGATCACCCAGCACAAATTCCTAGTGAATATCAATTATCTATTATTTTTAATCGATTTTTCTTATATGGATATCCTTCAAGTGGTTTCTGCGGTTAGCTATTCGTCCAAAGTGCATTGAAAAACGAGCACACCACACCATTGGTCACCAATGCATAGGAATCCCCCGTTTGTTAGAAAAATACATCTTTCCAGTTTTTGTATGCTTAATATATGAAATGAGCGCGCGTGAACACCGTAATATTGAATATCAACAAATTCGAAATTGAAAAAATAACGTTGTTATATGGAAAAAAAAGTATTGTTTTCTTTTACCCACACATCAAATCATGGCAAGCCATGAATAAACCACAGAAGATGGCCATAAGCACCCATATACAGGGTGTTTTTTTTGTGATAACCGATGTTTTTTTCAGAAAAAATGGTGAAAATACAAAAAAAAATTTAGTTTTTGTTTATTTTTGGTAAATTTGGACTTGTACAATTTGTTTGGCCACCTTTTCGAACAAAAATTCTGGCAAGGGGCCGGCCTTGGCCCATTTGGCGTAAAAGTCCAGTTTTGGGCATTTTCGATTACTTCTGCAAATATTATGACCGATAAGATGAATATTTTGCTTCGGACAATGTTTTCGAGAGCTCTTGGGGACCTAAACTTGTTGTTCTTAGTTTTTGGTTCAAGGCTGGTATTCAAAAACCAGCCAGAAGACGTCGAACACTAATGCTCAGTTATTGGCCAAAATCGTCATTTTTCGTAATTGGACGGTTTGCGGCCATTTCGTTCAGAAAATTTTCGGTTTTTTGCGCTGATTATTGAAAAAAATTATCATTCGGTTCGAAATCTTCAATTTCTGATTGCAAAAAACATGACTCATCAGCTATTAAGGCCACAATGGCCGCCAGTGGCCAAAACTGGCAGTTTTTCGAACACGCGGGCCAATGGCCATCACATATGACACAAACAGAGCACTGTGAACGATTTTTTTTACTCAAAGGCTTCCCACAAATACCGTCTGTAGCTTTGGTGGCATAATAACGACTGTTACGCTCTTGTTCAGATGAAACTGAAGATGTCGAAGAACTGTACTGAAACGCCCAAAAACTGGACTTTTACGCCAAATGGGCCAAGGCCGGCCCCTTGCCAGAATTTTTGTTCAAAAAGGTGGCCAAACAAATTGTAGAAGTCCAAATTTACCAAAAATAAACAAAAACTAAAGAATTTTTTGTATTTTCACCATTTTTTCTGAAAAAAACATCGGTTACCACAAAAAAAAAACACCCTGTAGATACATATCGCACAGCGCCAGCGACCGACGAATACGCCAATCGAGGTTCGAATCCCATTATGTGTGTGACCATACAGCTCATCGGCCCCAATATTATACCGTTTCAAAGATGATGTTCAAGCAGAAACTTTGACGATAATTTCTATCAAATTTAAAAAATGGCTAGAACAAAAAATTTTGCTCATGCATTTGCCACCAATTTTAATGGTTTCGACCCCAAGCCCCAACATCGAGCTATTAAATTTCGACGGTTGTGAATATTCCCTTTTATCTTGCAATAAAAATCATAACAAACAAAAAAGAGGAGAAAAAAAGCGTCAAATGAACAACACCAGCAGCACCATCAAGATCTATCAAATAGAACGAAAATTACCGTTGTGACCGAGTTTTATCGCGCGTATTGCGTACTATAGCGAGAGAGAGAGAGAGAGAGAGAGAGAGAGAGAGAGAGAGAGAGGAAAAAAACATACAAGCTGTTACCGAGTTCCGCTGCAATCATTTAGAAAATTTATATATAAATATATTTTTTTTTCTGTGGCATTTCATAGGCAAATTAATAGAATACTCGTCGTTTGTACTGCCCCATTGCAATTATGTGTGTATATCGGCTAAGTGTTACGTTTTTCTTTGTAGATTCGAAATAGTGTAGTATTAAATGAGAAAAACAACAACAGCAACAAGCAGCAGCAGCAGCAGCAGCAGCAGCAGAATCGGAGATCGTGTCAAGATCGATATCGAGCGGCAGTTAAAATAAAATTATACACTTTTTTCTCCTATATTCGCGCTCAAAATATTATTATGAGTGTGCTTGAGAGTCTCTTTGTTGTTTTTTCATTCTATTATTATATGTGCTCATATCATTCTATTGAAAGTGCTGCCTTATTGCTCACTTAGAATGTGAATTTTAATTTTAACACACATAGAATGAAAACGACACACATTCATGTTAAATGGTGTCTGTCTCTTTCTCTCTCGCTTGCGCCAATATGCTCTCGCTATCTGAATCATGCAGATGATGATGATAAATTCAGTTATGTAAATGAATTTGAAGAAGCAATAATAATAGTAATAATAATAATAATGCAGAAGGAAAGAAAAAGAGCGAGCGAGAGGCAAAGAGTTAGCGAGAATGGGAGTAAACGGGCAACGAGAACAGCAATAATAGTCATCGTATAGTAACAATAATGAACAACAAGCGAAAAAACGGCTGAATGGAACAAAAAATCTGGAGAGGCGAGGAAAAAAAAGAAGGTATGTATTTAATGTGCATTTGGCTACATGAACAAAAAACGATGCAAATCAAAGATTTGATTCTATTTGCGCGAATGTTATTGTTTGTTTCAGTAAAGCTAACGTTCGATATATACACACACACACACACACACACACTGACTCACACCCAAACAGAATTACTAGTTATTTTTTTTTGAATTTTGGCATTGAGACTTAATAAAAAATCGGCAGAGCAACATCACAGAGAATGATCACAGACAAACGACAGCACAATGCTAATAACAACGATCGATTTGTTCGAACAAAAAGAGAATTTTTTTTAAATGGAAGAGTAAACAATCGTTTAATTACAGTCAAAGTTTTGCTTTCATGTGCATATTTTAGAGAATAAAACCACACAACACACAAACACACATGCCAGACAGATCAAATGAGATAGAAGAGGCGATTCAAAAGCAGCAGAAAGCAAAAAAAAACACCTCAATTTTAATACATCAACTGTTTTGTGCACATACGTAATCTCTCTTTGAACCGTTTTTCCATCTATCGCTGTCCCTTTCTCACTCTCTTTCCATTTTAGTCGGATACCATATTCGCAGAGTCGTGTACACACAAAACGGCTCGGTTCAGTCAATTCAGTGAGGCACGCGGGCACAAACGGCAAACGTCATACCAATTCAAACGATCTATTACGATCTCCAAATCACTACTTACAATTATGCAAACTTTGTTTTGCGCTGTGAATATACTATTCCACTATGTGAATACATTTCTCCCTCTCTGCGCCTGTGTTGTTCAACATCAATCATTATTTTTTTTTTTCGAATATAATTACTTGGGCGTTCCTCAAAATACATATTACACACTAAAATAATCGACATTATAATATATCTTTGGGTCTATATCACACAGGCAATATGGATAGTTCAAATACAAACTCATCGCATACAATCAACCAACCGACCGACCGAATGAACGACCAAACGACCGAACGACCAAACATCACATTCCAATTCCGTTCATTTTTCTCATTCTCTTCGGATTTTATTTGTTGTATATTTTCAATGGTTTTTGATGTTTCTCATTTAACGGGCCACAAACCATTCGAGAGAGAAAAAAAAAATATCTATCTATCTATCTATGTATCGCAATCGTCATGCCATGCTCGCAAAAATTTAGATGAAACACACAACCCAAATGCTACAAATTGTCCAGCGCACACAAATCATTGGTAATTTAAATGGAAGTAATAAAACACATAAAAATGACAGATATTTTTTTAAATCGTCGTTTGATTCAAGCAACTCTATCATTCATCATATTTTTCGGAGCATCTAGAAAACTGTCGGGAAGAAAAACGGGCCTAGCCAACAAATATTATGGCCGACATTAAACCAGTCACCGATCTTATTTTAAGTGGAAAAATCATTAGCAACAATGCACAAGCAAATCATTTGAGATATGATGAAGCTAGAAATAGCAAGAAGAAAAAAATGGACGACATACAACGTAATGCGAAATGATTTTAATGCGACCGACGCCAGTCGGTCAAATAGAGAGAAAACCAATTAAAATTGGGTGATTCTTTGAAATTAAGATATCGATCGAAAATTATGGTGACGACAACGACAACGACAACGACGGTGGACGGTCACGCAAAACGATTCTATCATCTCTCGAAATGTCTACGACATGGAAAATGATTGAGCGAACAAGATTCGCAGTTAGAATGGCACAGTAAGTGTCATTAGTTTGAGAGGCTTTCGATAAGAGAGTTTTGACATCTTTATCTCAATGAAACATGCAACTAGATATTGTGATAATATCTCACAACAAATTGTCTAATTTCAATTTTAGCACGATTCACTCACACAATGCATATGCCATACCAATAACGGTAGCTTCAATTTCTTAGCGTGTGTATCTGTGTGTGTCACCAATTTCAGCCACCGAAACATGGTTAATTTTAACCATAGACACCCTACGACACATCGCCCATACAAATTAGATTCATCAACCAATTTCAATGGTGGAAAATCAATGGAATGAGATTGAGATCACAATCTTGCACTTCATTTTGCATGGATGAATAAATTTAGCCAAATTACTAGTAGCAATTCACTAATCCGTAATTTAGAAGAGCACTTCGGTGGAAAATGGTAACAGATTTCAACGGTCATTGGACAGCAATTATAAACGACAACAACAACAACGGACCTGTCAACTGATAAAAACTTTTAATCCAGGATGAAAATCGCATCACTTGAATTGCCAATCAAAATTTGTTGACGAGTGACTTGATTGAATTCTTTTTTTCGCTCAATTTATATCCCATCTCTTCGGCTAAGAGAACGCGTTCTCAGCGGATTACATTGTTAGCTGAAGCTGTATTTGAGTAGGATATGATCAAATGTCGGAATCATAAATTGACATGCCTATAAATTAGTAAATCATGTTTTGAATAACTTTCGATTCATTATGAAAACAAAAAAAAAAAACGGATCGTCCCTCATTCCCCAGAGAGGTCTGTGCGCGTTTTGGTTTGGGCAACAACAACAGGTTTTATTGTAAGATTTTATATAATAACAACAAGAAGGCGCCAGTCCTAATTTGATTGACGAAACTGTATAAAAACGATTAAAAAGATCTACTTTGTTAAATAGTCAAAACTTGAGCAGAACAATACAGCTTCAATGAATTCTATTACAACATTTCGTTTGTCGTCGTCTTCAATGTTGTCGCTTTTTCTTAGTCCAATTGCATTTTTTCCGCGCACAGTTTCGTTCAAACGGAATATACATAAAAGTTTCAACGTTTGAAATGTCCACGCAAAACTTTTGTTTCGAGACACAGTTTTGCATTTGTAATCCGGTAATTATGTGGTATGGGCGGAATATATACGCCGAACAGAGAGAAAATATGCAATATCGAAACCGATTTTCTCGACCGTCAAATGGTCTTAAGGGCCATGGCAATTTGGCGCCAATGAAATGGAAATTAGCATCAATTGATTTGCATAAATATTCCAAACTTTGTTACCTGAGCCAAGGGATTTCATTTATTTGTTTTCGATTTGGTTGAATTTCAATACCTCTGATGAAAAGAAAAAACAACCAAAAAATAAGAAGAAGAACGAATACCAATTTGTATTTGTGTGGTTTTTTTTTCTCAATCGAATCTGAGGCGGAGCGCGTCTGTTTATGCCAAATTAAAATCGAAAATAATGACACAATTCACACGGTTCTCGGCTCGTGAAACAGTTGGGCCCATCGAAATAATAGTCGACCACCACACTTGATGTTTTTTTTGTTGTTTTTGAGATGGTGTTACTAAGTTATAGCCATAAACTAAAAACTGACTTGAATATCTGTTTGTGATTTCTTTTGCATCGTCCCGCAGCATACGTATCGCGATGGGCGCTTAGCAAAAAACAACACCAACAAAACAAGCTTTACGAAGACAAAAAAACATTCTGTCTGAATAAATAGACACAAAACTGATGATAGAAAATCTCACGATGAGCTACAGAAAAAGTGTCAAAATAATGAACGGAAACTTATCATTACAATTGCAGTGGCGTGAAGCGTGATGTTGACGTTTGACTGTTGTTTTTGTTGCTGCTATTGCTTCGACTTTGTAACATCATCACAATGCCCTTAATTTGTATGCGAAACAAGTGTCGTTTAATTTATTTTCTATTTGTTTCTTCTCGCTTTATGTACGACCGTGTGTGTGAGTGTGTGTGTCTGCTTTTTTATAAATATTTTTGTTTCATTTCTCCCTGTGTTCTGTCTGTTCTGCAGCAAGGCGAAGCGGGCGCGTTTGTATATGAGATAATGAATAAGCAACTGAACACAATGGATTAGTCATTTGCATTTTTTATTGTGGATAATTATTTTTTCCTCCCTGTACGCTGCTGCTGTCCGTCATCCAAAACCGCATAACCGTCTCCGTCTATCGCATCGACAAGCCGGACAGCACAGTTCAATGCTGTGTGCTTGTGTATATTTGCGTTAGTACATTGATGCCTCAATCTGCTATTGTTTTATTATTATTATTATTGTAAATAAGCAGCAGAAAGATTGGACTATACCAATAAAATGAAAAGCAAATAAGACAACTACTGTGGAACGCACGAAATATTTTAGTTTTGGAATTGAATTCAAAACAAAAATTAAATAATTTGCGCAACAACAAATGCGCCATTGCCATTTCAGTCAACTGAACGAATGAACGCACGGAACCGAAACCAAAAATAACCATAGCTAAAACGAAAATGATATTCGCGGAATTTTTCAAGCATTTTATTGCAATTTGATACGAACAGACACATTCGATTATATATATTTGCGATGCAATTCACATTTGATTTGCACTCATGTTTCTCTCTCTTCGTTCACTCTCATGACTCACACTCAGCTTCGATTAATGTTTTTGCTTGGCTCGGGGTTTTTTCCCTTTCCGTGCATACACTCACACACAGAGAGACAGAGAGAGCGACAATGGCAACCTTTTCTATCATCAATTCTAATCAATTTAATCACCCGATAGTTAAACGAAAATTATAAACAAAACGAATGGAAAAAAACAACAAGAACAGTGAATTAAAGCTGCAATCACACTATAGATACTGTTTGTGTGTGTGTGTATGTACGTGCCTGAAGGAATGGCGAAGTGAATTAATGGAAAAGTAATTCGAAATTGTGTGCTGATTGTATTTTTCTGTTCAGTACACTATTTTGTTGTTGTTGTTGTTAGTTCTCCTTTCATTTCATTTCAGTTGTCGTGCGCTGTGAATGCCGATTATCTTGTCGCTTTGTGTTCATTCTAGCAAAAATGGTGGTTGGCAGTGGGGGACTATGGCAAAACTAAAAGTGCTAATTAATGTATCTTTCAGAGTCAGTAATGTGTGAAAATCGAGAGACGATGTTTAAATTGAATGCAATTTACGAAAATATCCCGCAATTTGTTCGCAAATAGATACAAACGCACACACACACACACACGAAATAGATTTGTGTGTGTGTGAGCGTATGCATGAAAGAGAGGCGACAATGATGATGATGATGATGATGACGTTGACGACGACGACGACGACGACGACGAAAAAAAGCCATTAAAGTGCGTTTTGAGCACTTACAAATCAAATTTAAGTTTTCCATTCGACAATGCTATTTGTTACCAAATTGCGATTGTGATCGGAGTGCGACACACAGATAGAAACCACTTTATACGTACATGCAACACATCTTTTTCTACCTTGTTATTTGCAGAAGCAACAACGCCAACGAATTTGAATATATGATAAAATAACAGAAAATAGTCATTTGCCATTGTCATTTGAGACGTTACAAAACACTTCGCTTTGTTACGATTGTGTGCACATCACCATCCATTGCTGCTACTGCCGCCATCGCCATCACCGTCGACACCGAGCAATCTGAACGCACATTCACAATTAATCCACAAAACATCTTTTTATCTAATTACAGGAAATAATTAACTTAATAGATGGATTATATATTAAAGTGCGATGTCAATCTGTACTATCTTACTCATTGTTATCGCAACGGATTCGTCACACTCACAATTTAAGGGTTGTAGATTTATCAAACATACACACACACAAACGCGCGCGTGTGCAAAATACCTCAAGGATACGTACGTTTTGGAATTTGATATCATCCCTCCAAAATTGTTATGCTGCTTTGCAATTGAATGGAGGCTTTGATTTGCAGCATTTCCATGCGTATTATGTTGAAACAAATTATTAACTTAATAATTAATCGCACCATATTAAGTGGTTTTTGGCCCGATTTCGATTCAAATTATACGTATATGAAGCCATATATCATTGGCATCGTTTGAATTTTTTTTTCTACAAAAATGTGCAAAATTCCGACCGATCTCTAAGTTAAGTTTATTTTATGGCCGAAATCAAAATCGTTTCAAATTTTTCCACACAAATACCAATTTGTTTCTAACATTTGTTTGTTTCATTTCCTTATTCGGATAAGCATGTTTCGAAAAATGATCATCAATTGTCACGTTAACGCTGTGGGATCCAATATTTTGTTGTTGTTGCTCTTGCTGTGTTTTTTTGTTGTTTCAATGCATGATATTTAAACGACTTTATTTAGCATCTGACT